GGACATCTGGGATGATGAGAAGATTCGAGGAGGGACATGATAGGGGTAGCGTGATCAGTGGATATCGACTCGAGCTGGATGGGCTTCAAGTCCTCGTTGGAGGCACTCGGAGATGAGTACTTTGAGTCCCAGTCAGATACAAACGACATCTCTATGTGCTTGAGATTCGTTCCGTGGAAAATATTGAGGGGCAGCCCATGATGAACCGGAGTTGCAAAGTTGTGATGTGGGAGGACCGACACAGATCAAAAAGGCGCTTTTGCAGCCCTCGCCAGCCCTCCCCCAATCCAATCTATCTCCATTGTTGATCAACGGCAACGTCCCTTCCCCTGTCCGGAAAAGCCTTCGGAAGATAGCACCCAACGTCTCGTGGAGGAGGAAGCGCGAAAAGTTCGAGATCCTGACGTGGAAACTACGAATGTGCGACGCGATGCCAGTGGTCTCCGAGTGCGGGTCTGCTTCCATAAGGCTCCAGAGAGTTGTCATTCGCTTAGGGACAGGCCCATGTTGACGAAAGGAGAGTTGGAGAGTGACCGATGCGAAGAGATGTCTGTGCGACGAGCGCCGAAAATGGTGTCCCAGCAAAGCTGTTGCAGCCAGACTTCTTTGACGTTCAAGGTCATTAGGAAGTTCTGCTATTTTGTCAATAACAAGATCTATGACATCAACTGGCAGTGCGGGTGGAGAAAGGAAACCGCGCCACCAACTCCCTTGAAGGTCACCAAGTCAAAGCCGCCAGGTATAGGTCCCAGCTGTCCAATGCCGCATATGTAGAGCTGCTCGACGTTTCGATAACGAGTATTCGCTGTGCGCGCGAGGACTTCATCGATCGGCGCATAGTCGTGATGTTGAAGCTTTGTTGGGCATCCGTATCGTGGATGAATCATGAATTTGAGAGCAAATTCGAGAGATAGGGTTTTCAATGTCTGCGGTGGGTCTTCTGCGACGTCTAGCACCCGGGTGGCGGCGCACTGGCCCCCCTTGGGTTCGAAGCTCTGGGGAGTTAAGCCTTTGTCAAAGATCCTGAGATGACGGAACGTGGCCATTTGTGTCCATGTGAGGGGCCTGCTAGTGGAGATACCACAAACTAAGGAGCCTTTTTAGACACAATTTTGGTAAATTATGGCAGAGAATTCGACTCACAAGATTCGACCGCGAGCGTGTCAAGCACTGGGGCGCACGAGATGATCGACATCATCTTGGTCACAGCGTCGTCATTTAAGATGGTCATCGTGAGCTTTGTTAGCCGAGCAAAGATCCATTGAGGGGATCGACGATGGTTCGGCGATTTGAGGAGATACAGGATCGGGGTTACATGGTCGGTGGAAATGGACTCGAGTTGGATGGGCTCTTGGGTGAAGGCTGCCGTAGCCGAGTTGCACAAGTCGAATAGGCATGAAACTTCGATGTGCTTGATATTCGTTCCGTGGAGAATATCGTATCGAGGGGTAACCCAACGAAGAGCCTGAGTTGCAACGTTGTGATTTGGGAGGATCGAGCTAGATCATGGAAAGCGATTTTGAATTCCCTGCACACCCGACCCCAGTACATTGGCCCGCCATTGTTGGTAAACGATAACCTTCCCTGTCCAATTCGGAAAAGCATTCTGAGGATCGCCGGTAACGTGTCATCGTTGAAGAGAGTCACAGTAGCCCCTATCCATTGTAGGCCTTGGTCGATCCTGACTTGAAAGCTCCGAATGTACCAATCGTCTCGGAGTGTGGCTCGGTGTATATGAGGTCTCGGAGAGCTGTCACTCTGCCCGGAATGCAGTACAGTTCACCCAGTTTTAAACAGAAAGTGACGGACGCGAAAAGGTGCTTGTGGGAGGAACAACAAAAATGGTGGGCCAGCAAAGCCGTTGCAGCGAGGCCTCTTCGACGTTCAAGATCATTAGGAAGCTCTACAATTTTGTCGATAATGTGATTTACGATCTCCACTGGGACGGTCGGTTGGGAAGGGGAGGCCATTGCAGGGAGGACAATAGTGAAGAAGTTGGTTTGAACTTTGCAAGTCGAAATTTCACCCTTCAAATTCAGTCACGGGATGCTGATCTAATCTTATCTATACGAGTTTCGCAAAAGGTTGGATATCATACTCTAGATCTCTAATTATTTCTGATGTTCTTGCACCGTCCGGTAGATGCTTCCTACGTTCTAATGCCAATTCCTCTCCCCTTGGCTTGCGGATGTTTTGATTATGTGCTACGTCGCTGTCGTGCACAACGGCTATGAGCGGTGAGAACGATTTCCCGAATGCCATGATCTCCAGTAATACCGCCTTCTGTTGGGGAAGTACTAGAGTCCCGCCAAAATGCGCATATTGTCTCCATCCTCTATCCAACTAGCCCGTTTATCAATGTGAAGCTTGCATAAAGCGCAAACAGAGGTTCGGTGTCATGGGTCCCATAACGAAGCGAGGACGATCTCAAGACCTCTTCTGGCCCGAATAAATGCAAACACTACCCATCCATAAGCAGAATAAACAGCGATGTATTCGTCATTACGTTGAATAAATGGGAGGCTTTGGTGCGGACTAGTCGTTTCTGACTGATGGAGTACATACCCATTCAGCACATCCATGATTAGATTGACTAACTGACTCGGAATCGATGCCCTATGGCCTTAACAAGAGGTTGAATTTGGACGTGTCGCTTACGGCTCCTGGATGTTGATGAATAAACAAGTGCAGAAGGAGCTGAAACGAAGGAAATTGGAATATAAAGAGACTTACGGCTCTCCAAAGCGCACAATGACAACCCTTGTCACCAGTGGAACTGGAAAGACTGGGATCAGGCTCGCCAGACTCGTCCACACGGCTGGCCATCGTGTCTTGCCCACCTCTCGCACGGGTGTCGCTCACCCGTTCAACGTCGTTACCTTCGACTGGACTGACCCAACGACATTCGAGAACCCATTCAAAGCCGACTCCAACATCGACAAGGTATACCTCGTTGCGCCTGTCGTCCTTGACGCCCTTCCGGTCGTGAAGCCGTTTATTGAGCTTGCGATTTCGAAGGGCGTGAAGAGATTCGTGCTACTTAGCGCGAGCCAGTTTTACAAGGGAGTGTCTACGTCGGGAAAGTCCACGAGTACCTCGCCGAACACGGCATTGAGTATGGTGTTCTTCGTCCGACTTGGTTCATCGGTATGTGCTCGTAAGCATTTCAGATTGAGGAAGACGCTAACGCCTGGCCATAGAGAACTTCGGCGACTTCCACCTTTCGAGCATTCGCGAGGACAACGCGATATTTTCCGTCACCAAAATGGTCTCATTCCACTCATTGGAGCGGACGACATCGCGAAAGCCGCTTACGACGCCTAATTTGCCACCGAGAGTCCCAACACAGACTACTACCTCATTGGGCCAGAATTATATTCTTACACGGAGGTATGTTCTGATTTGTTGTTCGGGTTTAACCAATTTATGAGACTGACAGGCTGCAGCTCTTCTGAGCAAGACCCTGGCAAGGAAGATTAGCCACAGGCACTTGACGAATGACGAGGAGGTAGCTATCTTCCAACAGTCCAGGGTACCACAGGAAAGGGCCGCTGGGTTGAATCATGGCGAATCACTTATCGTTGAAGGGGTTGAAGAGGCATTGGTTGGACATACCAGGGCAATCACGGGCATTCATAAGTTAAAGGACTATTTGGAGATGAATAAGCACCTTTGGATCAAAGAATAGATTGCGACATAGAATGACTTATCGAAATCTATAGGTACTGTCACAATAAAGGTATGGGAGCAACTAGTTGGCAAAGGTGAAGGATATATACTTCGATTCGAACTTCGCAATATTGAAAAAATTTCGATGTTGAACGTCGAGGACAGACGCGAGGCCCTACTTGGTCCAGAGCTTCTTGTTGGCCTCGAAAAATTGACGGAGCGTGCGGGTGCCAGTGTATAGGTGCTTGGGGGTACCGACCCGCTTCTCCTCAGCACCATCGGCAATGATCGCATCCAGCCCGTTCAACGTCTCAGAGTACTCTTGCGTCATTCCCAATGACTTGAAGAACTCTACTTCCTCCTCGTTCGTGAGCTGCTTATGGGTGATCTTCCGGCCAATGACCTGGCTCAGAATCTCGGCTGCCTGAAAGGTCTATTAGCATTTGTATTCTGGGAAAGCCGGACGCAGGGATTACTTGGTCGTATGAGACTGTCTCTGGGCCAAGGACATAGTAGTCGGTATTGGGGCTCTTCTCTGCGATCAAGGCGTCGAACGCGGCTTTCGCGATGTCCTCGACGCCGATGAAGGGGACTTTTCCGCTCTTGCTGACGGTTCTGAACGAGTTTTCCTTGTTGATGCTTTCGATAAACGTCGTGGCGAAGTTCTCTGCCAGGAACACGCTGTCAGCGCCGAACAGATATGTCAAGAGCTAGGACATACCGATGAACCAAGTTGGGCGGAGGACCGCGTACTCGACACCAAGACCCGCAATGTACTCGTGGAGTTTCCCATAAAAGTCGTCCCCCTTCTCCAGCTGGCTCGCGCTAACTAGCACAATCCGCTTGACGCCCTTCGACACTGCGAGGTCGATGAAAGGTTTGGCGACAGGAACCGGGTCCTTGTGATCAGGCGAGATGAGGAAGAGCTTGTCGATGTTGGCGTCGGCCTTGAACGGGTTCTCGAACGTCGACGCGTCTTCCCAGTTGAAAGTGACGGCTTTGAAGGGCTCGGGGGCGACGCCTTTGCGCGAGGTGATGAGGACGGGGTAGCTCGCGGCATGCAGGAGTTTGGCAAGGTGGGAGCCGACGTGGCCAGTTCCGCCGGTGATAAGGGTGGTCATAGTTGTTCGAGTGGTGTTGGTGAATGTTTGAGATATTGTGTACTGCATTGACGTCACGTCTTATATTCTCCGACCAGGGTGTCCTGTTTCGCCCTGCCGTTCAACGTCGAGCAAACATTGGAGGTGTTTGCTCATCCTCCAGTGAATGACAAAGAGGGGTATGACAAAGCTCCCACCGACATGGTACACGGTTCATACCCTTTCTTCTGGCTGTGAAACCCTAGCAATTCGAGGGCGCCAAGAACAGCCATCAGTCAGCCCATGACTCGAACGACCTTCAGACGTGTACTTGCTGTATGTTCTCCAGATGGTCTTGCAAGCCAGCTCTGTCCTCTCATATCGGGTTGTCTTCCCAGGAGGAGCCGGCAACTTCCCGACCTTCAACAGGCTTGCATGGCCCTCCGGCAGAAACGTGGCCTGGGTATGATGCAGTCGTCTTGGGGGTGGAGACATCAGACCGAAAGGACCGAGGAAATACCCTTGGGAGAGGTGAGTGTCATGTATTCTTAACTCGAACTGAGCTCACCGAATGGTACGCAAAACGGTATGAAGTACGAGTAAACGAGTTACTTCGCACCGGACGTAGAGTCGTAGGGGTCGGTTTTACTCGATCCTGGTCGAGCTATATTGTTGTAGAACTCTTTGCAAAAACAACGCGTACTGAGATTGCGAACATGTCCTCTCGCAGTCTCGCAGCTCCTCTGGACCCTGAATGGGCGGATATCGATACAAGAAGAAGTCAGAGTATGTAGAAACTGGGTTCGGAATCTGGGAGAGAGCGTGTGCACATCAAGCCAAACAAACACCCAGTCTGTCCCGCTTCTCCGACAACCAACGCCATCCATCGACACTGTCCGAGCTGCAATCGTAACTTCCGGAGTCATGTACGCTTCCCATTCTCTACGCATCAAGGCTTACGATTCTCTATGGCCTTGTGGCTTCAATGCTTCACCCTCACTTTCCCAAGTCCTCGTTTCTCAATCCGCGGCCTCTGCACTCAACCTTCTCTCGTGTCGTCTTCGCGAAATAACGGCCTACAACGTCTTTCTTCTTCTGCACGTCCTTTATCCATCTCAGCCTCTACTATACGCTCGGAACTGCACAGCCTCCTCAGTGGTTTGAGGCACTTCTTCAATCGAGGGTTGACAACGAAGGGCACGGCAATCAACAAAAGCAGCTCCTCCCAACTTTCAAAGTCATGGACGTTGAGTTTGACTCGATGGAGGCGATACATCATCGATTCATCGTCCTCTAGACAATTCTACATGGCACAGGTTGCACAGCCACCAGCAAGAGAGGATTGTTATATGCCTGTTTAGGTGGTAGGCGAAATGCATTTAAACAAACTGGTTCTCCATCTGGTACATCACCCCCCTCGAAACCATGAATCAGGGCGCGTACTCGTCTAGCTCAAGCACCGATAGGAATAACGATCCCTCACGTGCTAACGCGGGAGATGTTGGCTCAGCACACGAGGGATTCGATTCGGAGAGCTGGATCGCAACTCCTACCAGTTCTGCGCCTCCGAGTTACACCTCCGATACAGAGTCATTCAACGACGGCGCTTCCTTCGTCAGCGATACCTCGACTCTCGCCGAGCCTGTAAATCGTCCGCGTCCAGGCTTGTCAAGTTCGACTCTTGTCCATCTGCGACCCCCGTCCGTCCCTATCACGCCGTCTGTGCAGTCTGTGACACGGGAGTATCCCGTTATCCGATACATCTTCACGCCGACCTCTCCCATCAGCAACTCGCTCACCCTCGTCCCACCTCCGGACATGCCGGACACGGTGCCCAGATTCCACATTGCTGTGACCTCGAACGTCTTCAACCCACTCTCGCATATCACCACTGTGTACCGCGGAGAGACCCAGTTCGGTCAGTGGGTGGGCTCTTTCGAGTACGTATTACATTATCCCCTCGACGCACCCTTCGTTTCGTTGAATGGTCGCTGGTGAACCTTTTAGAATGGGAATATCAAGTTTCTTGAGCCGCGTCCGCATGCACAAACAGGATGTCCCTATAATAAAGGTCCTGCAAAAGCGGGGATCACGTACGAGCGCAGTTTGGACATGGAAGCCCCTCTCGTCGCGAGTCAATGGCGGAGTCCCGTGGAAATGGCACTACCGTGCTATACACGGGGGTGGTGTTGTAAGTACGATTTCCTCCGTTCAGATATGGATATCGAAGACCTCACTCTCTGTTACCTTTGTCCCGCAGTGCCGGTCGACCGATGCTGATGAGACCCTCCTGGCAACCTTTATCCCATCTCCGACAACAGCTCACTCTTACAGCCCCGCAGTCGTGCAAGTGAATGCGCGCGGAGAAGAAACACCACTTCCAGCACTCCAGATCACCCTCGCGGGACAGACGTTTTTCGAAGATATTTTAATTTCCCTGCTTGTTATTGAGAGAAAAAGGATGCTTGATCTAGCTGACCAGCACGCTAAGGTCATCTTCAACTGAGTGACGCCGCATGAAACACCTGGTTCATTCTATGATTTATTCAATACCCATAAATTATTCTTCATATAATACCTAGTGCTAGCCCCACTTTTTACATTCTAATAAAGGCGTATCAAATCCTTAGAATCCGGGAATACATACCGGAATGTGTTTCGATCTTCATTTCAAGTTGGCCATAAGCCAATGCATAAGTAACGGATGAGGCACCCGAGGCTCGCACCTTAGGCCTTAGGCTTGAAGTATAGAAAGGTAGGTTTCGATTAATTTTTTGGCTCCGATGTTTTATCTTACTGCACCCTACTTAATCCAGAGCGCCTTGTTCGCCTCGAAGTAGTCACGGAGCTTGTGGGTGCCCGTGATCGTCTTGCTTGTGCCGACCAACTTCTCCTCAGCGCCATGGGCAATGACGGCCTCCATGCCGTTCAACATAGCGACATATTCTGGCCACATTCCAATTGACCTGAAGAACCCCTGCTCCTGCTCGTTTGTGATGTGGACGTGGGTGATCTTATGCCCAATAATCTCACTCAGAATTTCAGTTGCCTGAAAAGTTTATCAGCTGGGTCATTCTGGATGAGTAGAAAAGGGGAATCACCCGGTCGTACGTGAGCAACTCGGGGCCAACAACATAGAAGTCGCTGTTCGCGCTCTGCTCAGCGAGGAGGGCCTCGAAGGTGGCTTCTGCGATGTCGTTGGTGTTGATGAAGGGAATTTTGCCATTCTTGGTGACAGAGGCGATGGTGTTGTTACAGCTGTTTCGGAAATTCTTGTGTGGCGCTGGTCTTCGTCACACAAGTTCAAGGCTTACAGTCATCCACCGGCCAATGAGACACCACCGGCTAATGATACACCTTGGAACACCATGAAGGACTCAACTGTTTGCTTTGAAAAAATAACCCCATTCTCTATAAGTCTTTCATACACTGTGTATAAAATTTTATGGGTTTTGGTGAAGTCAATGCCCAGTAATAAAATCACCAAAATATTCATTTTGGTTGATTTTGTCACACCAGTCACTGGTACAGCATCTCTGGCTGTTTCTGCTCACGTTTGGTTGATTTTATGGCATACAGCTGGTATAAATTTATTTTAATGGCTCTATTACACTGATTCCAAGTGGTTTTATGAGAATCCATGGGCTGGTTGAGTTCTGGGATCAAATTTAAATTTCAGTGTATCAAATGATGGTGGATGACTGTACACATTTTCCTTTACGCGTACTGTCACATGACCACTAACGGGTCACCAGCAGTAACGAGTCACCCGCAGGTTTGCGGAAGATTGAGGAAGCCTTGGGACATAAAATTTTGGATAACCATAGATATATGTCTTATAAAGTACTATGCAAATAATTGTGTGCCCACGTTGAGTTTACAGATGAGAATTGCTCAATGACTGCAGGCCAGTTGAGTGAGATTGCCAAATTTGGCCCAAACTCTAACCTCAAGAGAACCGAGCGAGCTCTCCCTCCTCAGAAAGAGGTCATGAGGTCACAAAAAGTTATATACAGATTATTTGTAGCCCTCTTCTTTGGTATTTAATTTTTTTTTTCTCTGTGGGTTTGCTCAAAACTGCAGCAAACAAGGCGCATCTGAATTAGTTAGATCTCAGATCATTCTCGCATCAATACTCTTCATTATGGCCTCATATACTGTACACAGTACTCGCTTCTGGTATAATACATGTATCACAATTTGGAGTAGAAACAGTATTTGTTTTCATTTTTTCTTCATTTTCTTGACTGAGAGGAAGGTCTACAAACGATACATCTTCTCTGAGGATGGAAGAATGGTAGAATTCCTGTTATCTAATTATGAGTTCCAAGTTTGATGGTTATTTCAAAAAATGATAACAATAGAAAGATAGAGGTAGGTGCTACAAGTAAAATGCATCTTGGATTTCAGAGATAGAGCAAGAACTCATCCAGCTATGGAGGTTGCAAGTCCACGAGAACAAGAGGCAGACGACCGATCTTGGACCGATCAGTGGGTGATCTAGATCTATTACATCACTTGGTAACAGCTGGGGTCTAATTGTAGCATGACTCATTTCCCATGGTTTTGGTCATATCCAGTAATTTCTGACTCTCCTTCATAGAAAATTTGTAGGACCCTCTATATGCCTTCTAACATCATGAAACAAGCTGGAATACACAAAGGATATAAATTTTCACCTCTGTGTCAGTTTATATACCAGCAGAGCCCTTCTGTCCTCCACAATTTACAATTTATGCTTAAGTGACCCATTACTGGTCCCTGCACAGTACTGATAAGATTACAATTAGATAAGCTATCTATGGCAGTATATAAGTTCAACTTGGTCTACGTAGATACATTGACTTTGAATCAACCGTTTACACCTGTCTTTTTAAGGTCACCCTCCTGCCACATATTTTTGACAGTACAAACTCATTTCTAAACTACTGCTTTACTCTCTTTCATCTCTGTCAACCTCTCTTTGGATTCCCCTCAGCTTGATCACCTGAGTCTTCCAAGATGGCACCCGCAGCGACGAAAAACACCACAACTACCACAAAACCAATGGTGTCTCGCTCCTCGACAAGGATCAGCAGGCAGACACCTGCATCTACACAAGGTGAGTCGCCAGCTCCACTGCCCATGACTGATGAGTCTGGCAATGGAGAGGATAGGGCACACTCTCTGCGATCGAGGGTTGAGAGAGACTTGGAGGATAAAGAGGAATCCGAGCGGGGCAATGATTCGACCCCAGTGCAGAGCCAATGCCACCCTGCAGCTGTCCCTAAGGTTGGCAATGGGAGCAACATTGCTGGCCCAATCGGACCCGAGACCGCCTCTCAGCTGAGCTTAACATGAGCCATGGCTGAGCCGTAGCTCCCCTGGCTCAGCCAAAGATGAGCTACAGCTGAGCTGAATGCGAGCCATGGCTGAGTGGGGATGGGTTCTGGGTGCAGCGGGGGCCTAAAAATGGGTTGGGCAGGTGCAGATATGAATGCTAAAATTTATCATGGCATCCATGGGGTGCAGGATGGGGCGGCGGGGCTGTAAAAGGCAAAAAACACAAAAAAAGCCGAGTCTTTTGCGATTTTAATACAAAACAAATGAATATCAAGTCGAATACTTAATATTTCGGCATGAAACTTTGAGGACATGTGTATCTATAGTAGAGAGTGCTTCAGAAATATTTTGAGTATTTATTATGAATTATGGGATGCGCCACACTGCAAGGAATAGTGGGCACGGCAGGTTTTGATGCGTTCTTCCTAATCAGGCAGCTTTTCCCAATTTGGCAAATCTACACATCCATGCAGAATTCCGGCTTCCCCTCACATTATTTTGCTTAGCTTTGGCTGAGCGGGATGTCGGGTACATTGATACCTTCCTGTAGACCCTATCATCGCATGAAACAGGTGAGAACTCGCTGAGATATGGCAAATGTGATTTTGGCTACTATAATGGATGGTGCACCCATGCATCCCCGGGCATGTTTAGGGCCATTTTAGTCAGCCAAAGATGATGAAATACATGCCTGAGAGTGATGGCATTATGTATAGTGACAGGAGGTGTCTGGGTGTAGTAGATATGAGGGGGTGTATAGGTACACCAGGAGACCCACTCCAGATACCCCACTAAACGCAGCTCTGACAGCCTGAAAGCTGGTATGTGGATAGTACATATTTATTCATGAATTTAACAGATTTTATCATGATTTTATATGGCCTTGAAGTTGGGTTATTGACCGGTTTTACAGGAGATAGAATATTCTATTGGCCTCCAGGATGGGGGATATTGGCACATGTAAGATCATGATAAATGACAATAAATGGAGAGAAACATATCAAGGTACTTGCGAGGGCAAGGGAATGAGTCTGTGTCAAGTCTTATGATGCAAGTGGTGATTTTGGATGCCCTTTTGCATATCTTTCCACCCACTGGTTGGAATCCCATCCGGTCTTTTGCAATCCCTTTGGAGTGTTAATAAGCCCTCATGTATGAAGTTTGGTAATTTTTGAGCAAGTCCAAGGTACTCATGTTAAATATTTTCATATTTTTCGCGCATTTTCCACTATTTCTCAAATAACATGTCCACCAGGCATCTGAGCCTCATCCGTCACTACTGGAATATGCTAATATACATGACCCCGACACAAACGCACCATTGAATGCATGTGATATGCAGATATGGTAGGTATTTACATAGATACTGATGTGGGGGATTACCTCCTCCTTCTCCTCTTCATAACTTGACACAGACTCATTCCCTTGCCCTCGCAAGTACCTTGATATGTTTCTCTCCATTTATTGTCATTTATCATGATCTTACATGTGCCAATATCCCCCATCCTGGAGGCCAATAGAATATTCTATCTCCTGTAAAACCGGTCAATAACCCAACTTCAAGGCCATATAAAATCATGATAAAATCTGTTAAATTCATGAATAAATATGTACTATCCACATACCAGCTTTCAGGCTGTCAGAGCTGCGTTTAGTGGGGTATCTGGAGTGGGTCTCCTGGTGTACCTATACACCCCCTCATATCTACTACACCCAGACACCTCCTGTCACTATACATAATGCCATCACTCTCAGGCATGTATTTCATCATCTTTGGCTGACTAAAATGGCCCTAAACATGCCCGGGGATGCATGGGTGCACCATCCATTATAGTAGCCAAAATCACATTTGCCATATCTCAGCGAGTTCTCACCTGTTTCATGCGATGATAGGGTCTACAGGAAGGTATCAATGTACCCGACATCCCGCTCAGCCAAAGCTAAGCAAAATAATGTGAGGGGAAGCCGGAATTCTGCATGGATGTGTAGATTTGCCAAATTGGGAAAAGCTGCCTGATTAGGAAGAACGCATCAAAACCTGCCGTGCCCACTATTCCTTGCAGTGTGGCGCATCCCATAATTCATAATAAATACTCAAAATATTTCTGAAGCACTCTCTACTATAGATACACATGTCCTCAAAGTTTCATGCCGAAATATTAAGTATTCGACTTGATATTCATTTGTTTTGTATTAAAATCGCAAAAGACTCGGCTTTTTTTGTGTTTTTTGCCTTTTACAGCCCCGCCGCCCCATCCCGCACCCCGTGGATGCCATGATAATTATTACCATTCATATCTGGACCTGCCCAACCCATTTTTAGACCCCTGCCGCACCCAGAACCCATCCCACCATCCCTACTCATTTTAATAGCCCCTATCCACCATCCCTGCCTGTTTTGGATGGATTTCTGCCCCCTCGCCGCCCCCTGCATGCTTACCCAATCCCTGCCCCACCCCAGGAGGGTTGTTTGGTCATTTATTTACCCCATCCCATCTCCAAAAAATCCCCTACCCCACCCACACAGTCACATCACAGGCCTGACTGTAAAAACACAGTCCTGACATATAAGTATACCTTGTTAATATACAGTCTTTGATATAGAATTCTAGCAGACATGGCTGTACCCAGAGGATTCCCCTGGCCAAGTACTGGAAGTTTTAGTTGCCCTCTACGGCATTTGCCAATCGGCTTACGAGTGGTACTCTCTCCTCATGTCGATCCTCCTCTCCATTGGCCTCATCCACTGTGAGGCTGACCATGGTGTCTTCTTTGCATACTGGTCCTCTCTGCCTGACCCCTGCATCACCCTACCTGCTGATGGTTCACCACTCTACCTGGTGGTTCCTGTCCATGTCAATGACAGCCTGGGTGTCACGAACTCAGTACCTCTTTACAAATGGTTCATTACTCGCCTCCAGGAACACATTTGCATCAAGGACCTTGGCCCCTGCTCCCGTTTCCTGAGTGTGTCCATCATCTATGACTGCCCATCCTGTCGCCTCTGGTTCTCCTCTCACCTCTATATTGGTGAACTACTGGAAGATTGGAACCTTGCCACATGCAAGCCATTGCCGACACCCCTGCCATCCAGCTCATATGATGCCTCTTCCCATCTCGGAGTGAAAGTGGTACCAGCCCAGTGTGGCGCTCTTCCCCAGCAGCATCTGGACACCATTAAACAAGATTACCAGCACCTTGTTGGCTGTCTTCTTTATCTCACTGTCACTACCCATCCTGACATTGCCTTTGCTGCTATGTGGCTTGGTCAGTTCTCTTCTGACCCTACCTGCGACCACCTGGTAATGGCGAAACACACCCTACGTTATCTTGCTGGCACCAAGGACCTCGCTCTCTGCTTTGGTGCACCCTCCTCCTCGGTCCCAGAATCCCTGCGTGGTTTTCTACAGAACGTGGGATGTTTGGATGCAGATTGGGCTTCTAATGATGACCGTAGGAGCATTTCAGGTTACTGCTTCTATTTTGAGGGCTCCCTGGTCTCTTGGTCCACTGTCAAGCAGAAGTCCATTGCCCTTTCCTCCACTGAGGCAGAGTATTATGCAATGACACACACCTTCCACGAAGCCATCTGGCTCTGTCTCCTTTTATCCATCTTGAACTTTCCTGTCCCACATCCTTTCCCTATCCTATCCGACAACCAAGCTGCTCTGAAACTTGCCTCCTCCCTCTCGATTTCTTCTTGCTCAAAACACATCGACATCCGTCATCATTTTATTCGTTCCCACCTTTCCAACAGTTCCTTTTCTGCTTCTTGGATACCTACTGCAGATATGCCTGCTGATATTTTTATTAAGTCTCTTCCCTTTTCTACTTTTTCCCGTCATTGTGACATTTTAGGCTTAGTGATACCCCCTACTCTTTGATCTTCTTTTCCCTTCTGCTCATTTGCTCTTTCCCTGGTGGGGGTGTGTTGGACATAGTCCCTTTTCCAGGTCATCGCACTCTCGTCATGTGTACAGTCGCAACCTTTAAGTAACTCGCTCCTTCCCTTTTTGTCCTCAGTCATTTCTTTCCTTGTCCATGATGCTGAGGACGTACGTACACCAGTTTCATAGGTGATCCCGCTTTGTACTTACTCTTGGTCCTAGCTCACCATGTCGTGTCTAGGTAAGTAAACTTAGTTGTTTCTTTCCTTGTCCACAATGCTGAGGACCTCGCCACATCGTGTCTAGTCTCACAACAAGTGACATAGTTATTGGGTCCAAGTTTTCCTTGGTCATCTCGACTCAAAGATATGGCTGGGCATGATGCCAGAAGGCCAGGACAATATCTCAATCATTAAGATCACCAATAGTATCAGCTATTTCCTGCAGCTTACGCAGGAAATCCAGAACCGAACGGTTATTCTGCTTGCACACATCGAACTTGTCATGCTGCTGCATCCTGAAGTCCACAGGGAAGACGTAATCAAAGAGCTTCTCAAAGTACTTGGTGAGTGTATACTTCTTCCCAAGGTCAAGGATGTCTCGCTCAAAGAAATGGTAGGCTTGCCCTCCAAGGTATTTCCCAGATAGGCAAATTCCTTCACTGTCATGGAGTCTGCTGTGTTCAATCCATAGACACAGCTCACGACACCATTTCTTAAACAGGGTCACTTGCACCTCACCATTGTACATGGTAGGTTCCATTGCCTTGATGAAATTCTGCTGATATTTCATTTGGTTAAGCTTGGCTCAATACTTTTTATGAGCAGCTCTTTTCTTGCGCTTGGTCCCTTCTGAATCACTGTTATAATTGGAATCAGGCTCATTGTTGAAGAAGTCACTCCCACTGGAGCCAGAGGACCTCTCACTGGAATCGTCGCTGGGGTCTGGCGGGTTGTCCCCCAGCCCCGGCAGGTGACTCAGAGTGGCACCTCTGCCAGAACTACCTTTCTGAGAAGGCTCCTTGCTTGATGGCTTCTTGCTGCCTGAACTCTTGTTTAGGCCAGGTGCGCCTCCTCGAGTAGGCACTGCACCAGAAATAGCACGCTGTACCAAGCTCGAAGCTGGTAAAACTGACGACGCATGTTGGGCAATCACAGGCTTTGCGACGTTCTTAGCAGTGCCTTTAATGCTCAGCTTGGCCTTGAGCTTATTGAGCTCACGGTGCAATTCATGGTTGATCCTTTTGGATTCCAACCGTGTGCCAGACAGGAAGGCATTTTCAGCCTCGAGAATGACCACCTTATCTAAGGTGTCTTTATTTGCAACGCTCCCTCCAGCTTCATGGGAGGGTGCCTTTGGACTAAAGTCTGGGACTGGACCTATGTCCTCATCTTCCTCATAGTCAGACCACTGACGAGGGGATGCATCCCTAGCAACCTCCTCGGGTGCTTTCTTATCTTCCTTATCTGCAGCTGACTCAGAGTCAGGGGAAGGAGGTCCATGAGGGCCAGTCTCTGCGACAGGGGCTAACTCAATATCCTCATGGTTCAAGACATCATCAGGAGGCTCGGGCTGGTCTTCCTGGAGCCAAGAATAACAATTATCATCTGCAAATGTGCTATGTAGAGCATCTGAGCCAACATTGGCTACTTTTGCAGAAACATGGGGCTGTACAAACCCCTCTTCATCAGGGACAGAGTCCCTATGACAAGAGCAGTACATCCACTCCTCGTCATTGTTCTCTTTCCCTTCACCACCCACCAGGCGGAAGGTACTAGAGCGGGCCACGCTCCCAACTTGGGGTGCCTGAGACGCCTCCTCAACTTCCAGTTGAGGTGCAGAGGCCGATGTCGCAGTCAGGCCTCTATTTCCAGAGCTCTTGTTGTTCTTTATTCTGGCCTTCTGTCCTCCAACAGCAGTGAGATCAAGTCGAGGTGCAGGTGCCATTGTGGAATTGCGAATGGTAGTCATAGACATGTCGTAGGGTAGGGGGTCGAAGTAAACAAGTGGCAAATGGTCAAAGGGTGATCAAGCCTTGACGGATCGCTGACGAGTTCGAAGTCGAAGTTGGTAGAGAGTAGAAGTGGAGTTCAAAAATATGTGGGATCCAAAGATCTTCACATGGAGAGTTGACACGAGAACATGGAACGGGAGTGTGAACTGGCCAACCTACGCTCTATTGAAAGAGAGGTGAAAACTGGCTACCTAGTACATAGTGAACCCTTATATACTGTAGCTACGTCCAAATAAGAATATACCAACAATAACATGTACACAAGTCCGAGCGAGGCATGAGGAACGAGCCTCTCGTGCTGAGTGCGATACGTGGGAAAGCTGAAGACATAAGATAATGGACCGTTTCCCGCCGCAAATCGTAGCTTCACGCTACAAGGACGAACCACTTCACACCCTTGGAGATCGCCAGGTCGATGAAGGGCTTAGCCATAGGGAGTGCATCAAACACGCTTGGCGTGATGAGGTAGACCTTGTCGGTGTTCTCGAACGTGGGCGCGTCGTTCCAGTCGAAGGTGAAACGCTAGGCATTCCAGTCGAAGAGACTTACTGAGACCCAAAGTAAACAAGACCACGTCTAGTTGGTAGTTTACGAAGGGTAAGGCAAGTAAGTAAGGTGTCACAATAAAGGAAAAGGATACTGTACCTCAGTGTGTATAAAACAGCTGAGGTATGGAAAAAGGTGAAAGAGCCTTAAATACACAAACATAGTTACAAGTACAAATAGAAAGGAAGAGGAAAAGGTGGTGCGCATCAAGTTGACCATGTACTCTCAACACTGCAACCTCCAACCCAATGTCTAGAGGGTAAAGGGGTACCCGGCAGTGAGGGACTGGAATTCAGAGGGGAAGATGCCCTTGTCAATCGGGTTTGGTGTCTTCCTCATGCCACTGAGAACCTTCTCACTGCTTTCATCCTCGCTGCCTCCCTCCTCACTGCTGGCCATCGGACTGATAGGAAGACCCCTAAGAGGGGTATAGCGGACACCAATGAGGTCACAGAAGAAGCTCCCTGTTATCATGCAATGGTCCATGATGTACTCATCCTGCTTCCAGGCCTCAACGGCTTCAGAGCTGTTTGAAAAAGGTAGATTTAGTACCATGTAGAATCGTTCATGTATAAGCAAAATAACGTACGCAAAGTGGCGACAGCTGAGGTAGGAGAAACCCTTCTTGGGGAAGTAGAATGGTAACATGTGGCGAACACGAAGTGAATTGAGAAATTGTCCAAGTGTGGGCTCCCCAATGATGCGGAGGCAGAAGGATGTCACAGCAGAGTTAGACTTGCCAGAGTAGTCGTGGATTTTAATGTCAAATCTCCCCTTTGCTGGAACACCATCGGGGAGCATGGTGATGAGCTGGGAGCTGCTGAAGACAGAGGCTGCATCCCTAGAACTACTGCTCCCACCGGGGACGCTGGAGCTGTTGCCAGAAGGGATGCTGGGAGGTGCAGAGCCGGGGGAGGTTGGCTTTCCTGAGGTGGAGAAGGTGGAGCTAAAACTAGAAAAGCTAGAATGGTCACTAGGCGCATATCGAGCGTCGGTCGAGCCAAAACTCGCATTGGGGTTCATGACGTTCATAGAAAGCCTAATCGTACTCCGCTCGTTGGTGGCATCTGCCGGGTGAATGTAGGCCCAGTACGCCACATGATTTTTGATTTTTAGGGCGTTGGCACGGTCCTGGACCTCGTCGCCCGTTGACATCATCTCCCCAGCCCTGAGGATCTCAACATGCAGCAAGCCAACCAGACAGATGCCCTGGATTTCGTTGGGGACATCGTCAATGGTGAAGTCGACCGGGTGGTAGTCCTCAATCTCGTCGGAGTTGTCATCGCTGCTGGAGTCAACCGAGCAGATGACCTCGATCTTGTCAGAGACATTGTCGGTTGTAAATTCAGATATCTAGAGGGAGGGGAATGGGAAGGAGAAGGAAACTATGGTTAGCGTACTCATGAGGGATAGAGATCTGGACGCACCTTGGGGGGATCACAGTGGGGATGAGGATTTCGATGGTCATGGTGCAGGTGTTAGGGACGCAGTCCGAAAAGGGATGAAAGCAGGGAAAAGGAATCGACCAGGTTGCGAGTAAGGAAGTAGGTACGAGCGACTATATATACTCCAATCTAATAATAGAATTGGTGGTGGCAGACTAGAAAGGAGTGGTGGTGAACCGGACTAAGGGAGGCGGGATCCGTAAGGAATAGGATGAGACGGGTCCGGACTAGGATGGGGGGAAATGAGGAGGCGAACTGGGCAGAGACAAAACATAGGTGGTGGCGGGCTGAGTAGTAGGCACCGGCAAGAGGCGCTCATTGTAACATTACCCCTCTTCAAAGGATCCTTTCTCCGTTCTGTACACAAGGAGGATGGGGTCGTCAGGCAGAATCTTTGATGCGTGGGTCCAAGAAGCGTCTTCATACATCAGCAAACCCTGATTTTTTGAGGCCAAAAACATCGAAATTGGGCATCTATGCAGAGCTGCACGATGCTACACAGCACTCCATAGAGCCATAGTAAGGGTTCTCTTCTGCATAGCAACAGCGGTCGATTACATCAACCTATGGAGCACCGTGTAGCATCATGTAGCACCCACGGGAAAATCAGGTTTTGCTGATGTAGTAGGGATTTCCAGATCACTTGACAAGGTACAGTCATCCACCGGCCAATGAGACACCACCGGCTAATGATACACCTCGGAACACCATGAAGGATTCAACTGTTTGCTTTGAAAAAATAACCCCATTCTCTATAAGTCTTTAATACATTGTGTATAAAATTTTGTGGGTTCTGGTGAAGTCAATGCCCGGTAATAAAATCACCAAAATATTCATTTTGGTTGATTTTGTCACACCAGTCACTGGTACAGCATCTCTGGCTGTTTCTGCTCACGTTTGGTTGATTTTATGGCATACAACTGGTATAAATTTATTTTAATGGCTCTATTACACTGATTCCAAGTGGTTTTATGAGAATCCATGGGCTGGTTGAGTTCTGGGATCAAATTTAAATTTCAGTGTATCAAATGATGGTGGATGACTGTAGAGGTTTCCATTACAAAGTAGTTTGTGCTCGAGACTGTATTACTGTGTAGCCTGTCTGCTCCGACATCAATCAAAGTGGGGCCCACCTTTTGCGGACCTCGTTGGCGCTACCATTGTTTGGAGTGAGACAACAGCAGAGGACTGCGTGAAATTTTGAAAGGTGAACGATCGTGATGTGACGGAGTGTCATTGATAAGCGGCTGTCACATGTGTCCCTTCCTCTATATCTCACCACCACTTCCTGTGAGGCGGGCAGGGTCCACCCAACCTTTACTAAGCCCTCGAACCCATCTCTTCTGCAGAGAGCCTTCCGTACAGGATTTCCCTTCTTCGGCCCACTTCCACCAATCGAGGTTCTGCCACCCACACTTCTGTGTTCTGCATATTCGTGCTCTGCATTTTCTGCACTTTAAAGTGAAGTTATCTCCGTATTCCTTTGCCCTTATGCTTCGACTTACATAAATTCTAGTCATGGGAGGCGACCGGGTTTGGTATGAAGCAAACGTCCTAGCAGACTTCCCGACACACGACAAAATCGTCAACTTGTGCACTAAAGCTGGTTCTAACCAGAATGGCGTCGACATCCTGGTAGCAGGAAAGCCTCGATTTTGGGTCAAATACGGCAAGAGCTCCGTCATCCGAGGTGAAGGCTGTACGCAGGCTCATGTAGCAAGGATCGTGAAGGCCAACCCTGTGAGTGTCGTCCGCGTTCCCGAAGTTTACCTTGGCTTCTCGCGCGGGAAGCGTGGGTATATCGTCATGGACTTCGTTCAAGGTACCACACTTGCCCAACGCAAGTCGATTCTGGGATACTACGATGACAACGACATCAAAGCCGTTGCTGCCGCTGTTCAGCAGCTCACCGACATCAAAATGCCTGCTGGTACCGCCCCCGGCCCCGTCCACGGTGGTCATATCGGCCACGATTTCTTCGTCGATTGCTTATCGACGCTCAAGTATTTCACAGTTGGGGATCTCGAGGCACAGATAAACAAGGTATGCTTTCCGCTCGCTTTTAGTGCCTCGTATTAGCACTCACGTGCTCTGGTGGCAAATAAGGTGCTTCGCCTTTCAGGGAATAATCTTCGTGTTGATTTCACCGCAGACTACTTGGTCCTTTGTCCATCCGACCCCAACGGTTCTAACTTTATAATCGATGACGGGGGAAGCCTGTGGGCCATCGACTTCGGCCGCACGTGCTTCCTACCGTCCTCCTTCGTGTCCTACTCGTTGACAAGATCGTCAGACGTCTTTGTGCAAAGCGTAGCACGTCTCGTCAACTATCCGCAATCCGCCAACGTCCGAGCGATGAGTGCGGCTTCGGGTCAGCTGGTCATTTTTAACAACAACGCCTTAGGTAAGTAACTGTGATCAGTCCAGTCCCGCCATACGGCATTACTCACCCATCGCATAGGTGGCTCTATAATGAGTAGCAAAGGCCTGACTTCGTCGGAGGTGTAAGGACCTGTACCGCAATTTCTGTTTGTCACGACCGAGAAAACATGATTTGCATGCGCTGAATGAGACTATTGTCAGCCCGTGCACGTGATTGCTTGACCTACAAACGCGCTGTTAAAAGAATATGTGTACTACTAGCGAACAGCTTCTCAACAAACGGCTGACCTGGGCTCATGGTGCGGAGCTCGATGAAGCCCAAAATTCACTTGCAACGGGTCCAGGCATAAATTTGGAGTCACGTGCAACGCACGGAGGACGTGGCTGTTGTGCCTTCCCCTCTTTCCACTCCTTCCATGCATCTGGCCACTCGTGCATTGCGACTGCCCACCTCGTCTTGTGCCACCACCTCCATCGATGACGGCAACCATCCCAGAGGTGAGGTGAAGTGTAACCTGGTACGGTCCATTTCTGAACATCGGGAGCCCGAGACTAGCTGTGCAATTGGAATTGGCCTACGCACTGCTCCAGCTGGCCTTTTGGCAATGCTGCACCCTCGTCTCGGCTGCTACCATAACACAGTGTACGAGAGACGATTCCTCCTGATCTTGTGTCCCTTTGCAATCCCAACAAAGTTGCCTACAGCTTGCACTGCGCTCTGGTCGTGATCTAGTCACTAACCTTCGACGTTTCTTGAAACATGTCCACATGGCTCAACTCATCCGCAGAGCCAAGTCTGGCAGCGACTGGACGGCCAACGAACTTGCTGCATACAACATCACAGTAGTCTTCCAAGACGCTGCCACCTTCTTCGAGACGCCGGATCTCCCCCAGCCAGCTATAAATCCAAGCGTGCTCACCACTCTGGATTACCGCGATTCCCCCGACGACGACGCCTACAGGCTCCTAAGGAATTTGGATCTCGCTACGACTCAAGTGCCAGCGGAAGACTCTGCTGTCGACGATTTTGCCGTGCTCCTGTTGCGTGCACTTGGCTATGAACCGAGAGGAAGGGCTTTGAGGACCAGGAAAGACTTAATCCCTCTCATGTGTGGCGAGAACAGGCATGCTAAATCCGACGTGTGCCTGATTGACGAAGAAGAAATCGTAATCCTTGTCCAGGAAGACAGGCGATACATAGCTCCAGAAGATCCCGAAGCACAACTCATCGCGGAGGCCATCGCTGCGTTCACCGCAAACAATCGGACGCGCGTGCAGATCTTGGGTCTACCTCCCCTGCCATCGAAGGTCATCGCCGGCATCACTATGACGGGCACTTCGCCTATCTTCCATTTTCGGCGGAACTCGTGACCGCTGTTGGCGGCGGCGCGTAACCCGAGACACAGACTGTCGTCTATGCACACCTTCCCGCCGTCCTAAGACCTCAACGCCGCTGGAGTGAAGGTATGAAGCCGCTGGACAGTAGGCAGATTATTCTGTCTTGCTATGAAGCGTCCAAGAGATTCTTGAACTAGGTACTATAACTCTTTTTCAAAATTTACCGTTTTTCTCTATTTACATATCATGACCTTCGAAATTCGAATTCGGCCACCGAACGATTGCGCAATTTGAGGTCATCTTTCACAAATCCGTATCCCAGTCTCCCATACAGTGGTCCGGTTATGCGACATCCAGACTCTCCAGTCTCGCAGTTAGCTCTTATATGCTGCCTGATCTGTTTTGGGTGCTATCAGTTCATTCTCGATCCTTCAACCGCGTCGACAACTTTCCGTCTGGCCAAGCTCATTGCCAGCATCTGGAACGCCAGATCGCTGCAGCCAGTGATCTCTGCACCTACACTACCATTTGCTCAGGCAGCCTGCATGGCGTCCAGGTCACGAAACGCCCGGAGGTTGTCCAGGCGTCTCAGTGGACAACACGTCAGAAGGAGGCCAAGGCGTTTTTGGCAACGATTGGTTCTGACGAGCTGATCAGGAAGATCATGGGCGTCCGCTATGCTGATGTCGTTAACACGATCAATGGCCATGTACCCTTTGGTGCTGCACGGGTAGCCGCTCCTGCAGTGTCTGCAACCACTGCTGCGGCCACTCCAATGCAAACTGGAGTGTTAAGTGGCCTGCCTTTGACAAGTCGCGTTGCAATGGCCCAAGTGCAGCCTATGGCGTCTAACTCGACTCCTACCATGCCAGTTTCCCTCTCCGCGACCTCTGCCCCAGCTCAGGTCGCAGGAAAGAAGTGTAAAAACAATCCCATTATCTTAGGGCCAGTCATCGATCTCACTGGAGAAAACAGTGATTGATTCAAATGGTGCAACAGGGGACCTCGCGTTGAATGATGATATAGTGTTCGCATTGCGATTCGTTCTGTGTAATAATTTTGTATGAATAGTGTTATCTTTAGCGTAGATATGTTCGGTAATCACGGTCTGAAAGCAAACAGACGGGTCTACTTTTACTTGCCCAGAATTCTACCTTTGAGCGTTTCTTAGTTTACCTTCAACCATTTTGTTCCCTTCATGAACAACCCATAAACCACCCTAATTCGGTACTTGGCACGTGCGCGTGAGGACCAGTCACTCCAGCTTCCAAGTTCCAGCCTTCAAGCTCGCTATTGCTGCTCAAGAAATTACCGCATGTTGGAGAATGCCTTCCTTCCCAGAGATACTCCACCTCTGAATAAAGTAAGTGAGCCTGCAATGCAAGTCCGTTTTGCACCTCTTAACCGAAGAATGATAGAAATCCAAGTACTTACGATGCAACACCTTTCTGAGTGAAGTAGACAGTCCCCTTCGGGAGGGTTTAGGCGCCTTGAAACGGCCAGACACGCGAAAGCACTGCACCTGTACTTGCAGCGCGAGATTCTTTGCGTAACCGCTCTTAGAGTTCCACCCATTTAGAAGAGCGAGGAGGACAAAATCAGTGGAAAGACGAGATTGGTCTTTCACTTGGCAAGCTCCAGCGCTCTATTCGGCGGCGGCCCTCTCCTCGGCGGCCCTCTCACAGCCATTCCGCAAGAGGTTTGATCTCTTACAACACATCAAGTCTACCGCACCTCTCCGACATGATTCCTACACTTCCGTACGACGTGTGGTACCACATTACGAGCTTTCTCCCCAGAGAATGTCTTGTGAGGCAATACTCAGTCAAATTATCTGGAAGTTGACACACCAAAGCCATTGGTCAATCCCTCCTCTCTGTATCGGAATTTGTCGCAACTACCACGCTTGACCAAACTCTCCATCTCTCATCCCCTCGAACGGTTCCTATCGCACGAGTCTACCGGTATCGACACATCTCTCAAGAACAATCGGCACACTCTCGTCGAATTGCGATTCCACTCGTATCACCCCGTCGCCTACTATCCCCCACCGCCCGACGCATTCTTCTCACATCCCATCTTCAAAGTCGCATTCCCGCTATTGGAAGTGCTTCACCTTGGTCTATACCGGTGGTCGAATAACTCTGAGGCCTCCGTTAAGGACAACTTGAGCCGGTGTTTGGCCTCCTTCGGAAACTCTGGGTCGCTCACGAAACTCGCTATCCTCGAATATGTCCTGAGATTGGAACAGCTACAAGCTATCCTTCTCGTGGTCGGCGGAGAGAACTCCGAGCTCAGACGTCTGCAAGTGCATCTACACGGGCTTGATGGCAACGTTTTCGAGGCGCTCGCGAGCCAAACTCTCCTGCTCTACGAGTTAGAGCTATGTTTTAATATTATGGTAAGCGTCGCCTCGATGTTCTTCAATTTAATATGCTCACTCACCGTCCAGACCGAGGGGAAGGATGACTCTTTCAACGAGGTGATGGTGAACCGTCGATACCCTGAGTGGTCCCTCTGTCACCTCACAACGGTGGGACCTCTGTGTTTCGGATCCATCTTTTGGGATACAGCTCGTGGCCTCCTGACTGCAAGCCTTCCTGGCGTGATCTCATTCAACGGGATGTCCAGGGGCGAGTTCGGACGGATACCCGATTATACCAAGGTAAGCACTGCGAGTGAAAGCATCGCGGCCCGCTGGCAATGGCTGCTTAGACTTGGTGGGCCACGATCACACTTGTCTTATTCTCAAAGAAGAAACATTCCTTTTCTCGCCTACAAACTCCGGAGCTTTTGCGTCGGAACGACCGCCCTATCTCCAGCGACATCACTCCCTTCCGATTCTAGGACGGCTTCTCTGACTATGAGCCTGCTTCATAACGAGCGCGAAGCGTTCAACAAGATCAACCCTTGTTTTTCCCAACATACTACCGAGGCATGGGTTGGCCGTGTTTGGTTCAGGACATGTGGGGAGGGGGGATGTGCTAAGACTCGGAAGGCTGGCCCTCGGCCGTCTATCTTTACGCGGGGTATAGAAGGTTCAGAGGCCTAGGCTTCTATTTACGAGAGAATAACCTCGGGCAACTATAGCTAACGAATGAGGTAACATAGAATTGGGCTATGACCCGAAGGAACTCGAAGGATGGCTTGTTGAACGTTTCATACTTCTTCAAGCACGAGTAGCTATGACGCATAGTATCGCCAATACACCGAATTGAAGAACAGGCAACTAACGGACGCCTGAGTCTCGCTTGTAGCCCAATAACTGGTCCATTCCCCGCCTTATCGCCCTGAAGCGAGGTACTTCGTAGCAGGCAGTATTTTGGACTCACCGTCAAACCCATGGAATTCAGTTGGGAAGCAAATATGAAGATCGAATATTGGGTTAATATTCTCACCCGGCCTTGATTCTGAACGCTTGAGGGAAGAAGGGATTCCAACGATAAACCCCAAACCCAAAGCCTCTTATTGGACTCGTCAGAGATTTCCTTCTCGAAACATACTAATTGTTGAATTTAAAAGGATTTACGTGAGTTAAGCCACTTGGGGCCACCGTTTCCGAGACCTCACCTGATAATCTTCGTCTGATAACCCGATTACAAGTCACTCAAAGCTGGCCATGGCCTTGTGGGGAATTCTGATCTTCTACATACCTCTGCGTCTTTACGGTCAGGTCCATGTGTCGTTCCCCGAGTTCACGATTGAATTCTAGGACACACAGTGCTTCCTCCCGATTATCGCAGCAAAGAAAATAAATCAGGCCAGGATAACACTTCTATGTAGAGGATTTGGATTAGCTGCCTCACAGTGCCTGCGTGACCTTCCAGAAAACCCAGAGCCGAGAAAGGAACTGGAACTGTTCTACAAGACACGGCGACTTCACCCATCGGATCGTCCCCACCCCAAATCCATTTTCAAAATCTGCGAATTTGTTTTTTGCTCCGAAATTCTTGACACTTTTCAGCCACTTCCATTGCATGGTGTTGGTTGAGCGTCGCCCCTTCCAGGCAGAATTATTGAATCCTTGATTTAAATGAATGTTCCGACGCATCTTATCCCCGGCGGCGTGCTGTGTAAAAATGCCGTGAAATAATATGGGAGGCCTGGCATCGCAAGGAATAGCGTCTTGAAGGTCTCACAGATGTTCTGTGGGGAGTCTCTAGCTGCAAGTAGACCCTCAAATTATGGGCCATGGATGGAGGCAATAGCATGAGTTAGCAATAGCATTTAAGCAGCATTACCCGGTGCGCCACCACTCCTTATGGATCTATCGAAAAGCGCAGCTGACTGTCAGAGGCGAGGAAGCTCGAGTTCGCCCCTAGGTACAAACATTTTTTTCTGGCGTAATCAGATAACAAGGTGCTCATCGTGGAATCATGCCTTCAAGTTCCCGGGATCCGGTGGACTTTAAAAACTACTCCAGAAGGCATTGAATGTGCACCAGCAGTAATGGAGTAATTCCTGTTAATAGCGAGACTCCACGGAGAGACGAGCCGGGGAAAGTCAGGTAGCTTGTATACGCTCGTAAATATGGACCATCCTACCGTTACTGGGCTAGAACTCTTCGGGCAGGAATATTGGACAAAGATAATAGAGTGACGAGAAGAAAAGTCGCATAGGATTAAGCCATCTGGAACACCGGGAGTGCATACTACCCACCATTGTTCCGGATAAAACTATTTGGAAACCCCCCTTTCCACGAAAACCCAGGGTTTCTCGTCATTGATGTAGAAACCCCTCACATTTGTCCTTCCATCAAAAGTTTGTGTATGTTTGCCTTTCCGGAGGCCCGGCCGGCGATGTAGGAAGCGCTCAGTAAACTGCCTGTTGACGCCGGCGTCGACTCCTTTGCTTTGACAGTAGCGTCCAGCGCCAGCTTTGCGCTCCCAAGACCCGAATATGAGTGCGTTTTGCTGAGTGATCTACATAAATAAATTCTTACATCATGCTCTGTTATGTTTGTGTAGCGGACGTTGCAATATCCGGCATCAGGCTGATCTTTCGTCGTGGCGGACTCTGATAACTTCTTCGCGGCTTGGGAAGCGACTTATCAACGTCACTCTCTGAGAATTTAGAGATCCATTGAGATACAGACTCTTTGTACAGGTCATTCAAGCACCAGAGCAAGCAGTGCATGATGGCGTCGCTCACCGTCCCTTCATTGCCCATCAAGTCCTCATGTGCCCACGTTGAGAATGATGCCCGCCTCGCCCTTCCTAAACCAATCACGCCCCGCCTGTCTCACATTTTAAATATATACCAGCCCTCTTTCATACAGTTAGAATTACTACGGAGCGTAGAAGCTAGAGGCAAGGGCAGTAACGGCTCATACAGCGTCGAACTTTGTGTACTGCTTTCGGTACGATCTTCGGAGACTGCCGACTGAGTCCAAAGGTGGGTGATGGCTACGCACAGTCTAGGTCACGATAAGTCCGTAAAGCGGCAGTACGTCGGCAGACTGGCGATCAGCGCGACCAGCTGTCCCTGTCACGGCGTGGGAAGGAAGCAAGCCCCTCCCCGTTGTGAGACGATAACCCCCCTCAACACCAGTTGGATCGGGGTCCAAATGACGCTAGCTATAATATATGTCATGGAATCCTCGGTTGTCGAATTGGGAGTGACAAAAGACAAAGAGTGAAAAACTAGGTGTACACCTTTTGGCCTAGTGGTTCAATCGCGCTGATAGCTGCTTTATCGTGTGAAATCCCACAAAGTCAATGCTCTAAGTCATCGGTTCAATTCCTGAGACCTACAACTTGGGGAAAAGCCATGCCATGGACGGCACACGGTACCATATTTGGTCGACATCACCGGACAGGCACGAACATTCACTTGAGGAACCGGGTTTCCGAATAAGTTATTTAGGAACCCTGGATTTCTGCTGGAAAGGGGGGTTTCCAAATAGTTTTATCCCATTGTTCCTCCAAAGTGTAATGGTCGAAAAGGGAAGGGCGTACGATTCTTCTGCCAAGCAGCGATCGTCGAGCGCTAAGTAGAGGTCTTCATATTAAAGCCCAAGCCCCGGTCTTTCGCCACTCGCAGATATCTGAAGCAGAATGGGGTTGTCCGAATTGCATCAGAACATGAATCGGGAATAGATTGGGTTGTGGGCATCTAGGGGCATCTACGGCTCATAGTAGTCGAGACAAGGGGGGCATGCACGACAAAAGCATGCTGTCATCATACACACATACATAGAGCCGTGGCCGTAACGTAAATGGGGTTGAGGGCGTGAGTGAGCGGCGATATAAATTGTGCAAGGGAATTTATGGGTCGTTTGGGTCGCAGGTCATGAATGGGGTATGAGCGACAGGAAGTCTTTTAGGCATAAGGGTATGGAAGTGAGAGGTATCTTGATAAGACCCGTGATGCTGCTTTTCGTCTAGGCACTTGAGAAGAAGACGCAATGGCGCCAGGCGCAGAGATTATGATCGGAAGCTCCCTTCACGCCGTCAATGTGATCTTAGCGATCACAGGGCTGAGATGGTGTCTTGTCGTTCCGTGGGATGCGGGACCCAAGGCTCTGGTAGGGGAGAGAAATTCAATCAGTCCCAATCGCAAGAGGAGAGAGGGGGGAACGCACGATCGTGTCCCCTGTGTTGAGCGCGGTTGCTATCAAGATACGCGTTCCGTTCACGAACGTCCCGAACGCTGTGTCCAGGTCGCGGATGTACACCTGAACAAAACGCGTCGGCTTGAGTGACATACGCTCTATTCTAGAGCGAAGAGCCTACCTTCCCGCCATCAGTCCAGACCTCTGCGTGGGACGGGCTGAGCGGTAGTGGTGAGACGTCGGGCAAGGTGATGTCCTCAGTCCTCTTCGGCGCAAACCATCCGTTGGCGCTTGTCGCTGTGCGGGGCGGCCCGCCAGCGCCAGTCATCTCGGTGGATCCTAGAGTAACTCTGGTCCCCGCCGCCAAAGTTATGGCTTTGGCCGCGAACGGGAACGTACCGGCCGCTGGTGAGAGCTTCAGAGTAGTGGACATGATAGCAGGAGAATGTATTGCCGAAAGAATTGGCAGATGAGTAGGCGGCCTCAAAGCAAGACAGGGCAGCAAGACAACGTCGGAGTGATCTGACCCACACTTGATCTCGTCCTTTATACCTCCAGAACCAGGATGACATTACGGCCAGATAAAGATTCGACCAGCGTTCGGATGCATCGAGCGTCCGGTGTATGGTTCCCTGTCCCATGCATATGCCGCGGGATAAGAGAGATCGTGAGTCAGAAAGGCCAGGGAACAGTTTTCCGAGTGAGTTTGTGGGCGTCAGGAAGGATCCCGCGATCCGGAAGACCTTGTGTATGTACCATGATGCAACCCTGTTCAGTGGTATGTCAGGTTACTTAAGTTTCCCCGTGCACCCTGGCAACACTTCCAGGAAGCCTGAGGTGCTTGTACCTTCGGTTTTGAGGCGTTTTCCCTTTGTTGAACTTGATCGGATTTTCAAAGGGAGTTTCTATGTATAGGTCGGTCCATCGCACCTCATTGGCATTTCAACTGGCGATGACGTTTTAAATCCAGGAATCGGTCAAGGCTTAGGATCCTGGGCGGTCGAGCTTCTGTTTGGTTCGCAGGCTTTGCAGCGCGGCCACGGTGGGTGCACCAACCTTTTTGTGTACGTCAGAAACGCCTGAGTGGGGTAGAACAATAGTCTGACGACCTGCAGTGTCCACACGTTGTGACAACATGAAATATAATTTTGCTCACTTCCATTGAAGCATTTCGTTTCTGAGCCCACTGTGTGCGACGTGGACGGACGTCTCAGAAGCCTAGAGACCGCATTGGTGACAAGAGGTTCCATCGAGAACACCGAAATTATAGCCACCTATCTTCCACCTTTCATTCCTTCATCCTTGACGTCTTCAATAGCAAATAAGCTATAAGCGCGAGGCCTCGAGGGGTTGGGATGAGAAAGACTTGCTCCGGGAGGTGACAGTAGTATGAAAAGCGGCGAAGAACCGCCCCTAAGCAAGAATTCTGGACACGTGACCATTGATTTTTCGCTTCGTCCTTGCAGTCGGTCGCGAACAAACCGACACGAAATTGCTTGTCGTCGTCGTCCTTAAAAATGACACGAGCGGCTTGGTGCCTACACTCGTCACTACGCTCAGGCGTCTGTAGAGCAGCAAGTTCGGCCATGAGCCCTGCTCGGGTGGCAGGAATACCTGGTGCGTATGACTACACGCGTTCTGTCGTCACACGTTCCGAAACAATCCAAACCAACAGGGTTTCGAAGATACTCGCAGGCCACTGCTGTGCTAGAACAACAGCAGGAGGTACATCATCCAGAACCGGCACCATCGACGCAGCAGGAGGAACACCGGAACCAACCTAGTGCAAGTAGAGAGGCCCGGAGCCAACCTCACCTGGAAAGGTGGAGTTCACGAACGTATGGGTTTTCATGGAGGGGTCCGAGCCCTGAAGAGCTGGCCGTACGAGGGCGACAGCAGAAGGAGTACCTCGAGCGCCTGTTCCACCCTCTCAAGTTCCCACCTGAGCTTGTCCAACGGGTTCTGACGCATAGCAGCCACGTCCAAGGGCGGAACGGACACAACGGCGCCTTCAGTTTTATCGGTGCGCCTCTTCTGACTGTTGCTTAACCAGGTCATCCCCAAATTGATCAACGGATGACATTTCCTCCAGGTCGACGAGTAATGTCCGCATACTTTCAGCTCTTCCTGCATAAGAGCCCCAACCTCAAACCTTCCGATGACCTTGAAGACCTCGTCTCGCGTGCCTTACACACCAACCTCGTTGGGCAACACATCGGTGACGTGTGGGGTGTCGGACGAGAGCTCGTGTGGGAGCCCAACGCTCCGTCAAGTAGGTTGGACAAGAACGCCGCGGCGGCCCTACGAGCTGCTGGGTTGTACAAAGTGCAAGGAGAGGCGATTCAGGCGATGATTGGGGCGATTTACCATCAATATGTGCGCATATACCTGCTTTTTTTTGCTTCCGCCTGTGCCGACACTGTTATGGTGACCTTTTCCAGGGTGGAGCTGTTGCACTAAGAGTGTTCCATACACGAGTGCTTCCTCTCCTGCTTGTGAAGGGTGGCTTGCCTAAGGTGTTCCATAAGGATGTCAAGGCCCAATGTGACAAGTTTGGTGGTCCGGAAGGACCGCTCCTCGTCCCTCGCGAAGAGAAGGCCCCCGTGCTGGAGGAAAGCAAACCGGTGACGCCAAAACTAGAAATGGACGATCCACCAGTACCATTTTAATGTGAGTTCTTCGTTGCTCTTCGAATGGTTGGATGGTTGAATTCAGGCGATCTTTATGTAGCCTGTTAATATCTAATCTATTTTTTTTGCGCTGCTCATTGCGTATTCTGGGGTATGACACCTAGCATCACCTCTAGTTTGAGGACCTAAGTTATTTTACTGTTTGTGCACCGTCAAGGCTAGACGCACTGCCAGGGACGCCCATTCATACACTGTCAAACATCTCTCCGGGGTTCAGGCTGATCATACATATATGTTGACCGGGAGAGATGTGGGTCCTCTACTCTCTCAGTTAGACCTGCATTCGTGAAACACGAAAATTATAATTGGCGAATGACATCGCATGCGAAAGCTGTGAGTGAATGATGAACACCACCAGTTGAGGTCGCTCCCGAGCCTTCGCCTCGGCCAAGCGCCGGCCTTCGACGGCATGTCCTCCACACGGATCGCCTAACAACCAAAATGAGAAAGAATTCAGACGGAGAGTCGGAGACTTCACCCCTGTCAACAACATCATGATGGCTTCAAAACTGGAAGTTGACCAAGTTGACCTTGCACACCCACTTTCTCCAAAGCATTGATTGCTGGACGATTACGACAGGACGCTGCGCGCCTCTGCTCTCCTCCCTGAACCCGACGTAGACCGTTGCCCGACACATACCCACACCCACAAACGACAATGACAATGACCGCCACCCAAACCACAGCCGCGAAGAGCAACAGGCATCTCGCCGTTCCGACGAAGAACAACGGGAACCCGTTTGCGACCCGTGGAATCTACCGCCCGAATGCACAACGGCTGAGCATCTCCCTCATGCCGCTGGTCGCTCAGAGGTCGCTGCTGTTCAGAGTGCAGGCGGACATGTCGAGGTGTACGACCTACGAGGAGGTACGTGTTTCATATCACCCCTCTTTGTCCTATACTGAGATGACTATCCATGCACTGTCAGACGACTTCACCAGAAGAGTACCGCGGGCTGTACACCCTTACGCCCACAGCAAGTGCGAAGCTCGTTAGCGCCGTGCTCACCTCTGCGCGCTTCTCCGCTATCCCGTCCGCAGCATCCTCCGGTAGCGTCTACAGCCAGGAGTCGTGGAAGTCTCCAGCCTCGTCCAAACTCGCACCACCGATCGCAGCTGCCTTTCTTCCGCCCGTCGCTATCGATCCGCGTCGCCAGGCCATCGTCTTCAGCCCTAGCGTCCAGTGGTCCGACCACTCCGAAAGCGAGAGCGAACGTGCCAATCTGACCCAGGAGCAAACTCACGGGGATAGCGACAAGGACTCGATTTCTGAATCGTCTGATTCGGGCTGCTCGGAGCATGGCATCAAGACTCCGGACTCGCCTGGCGCCCCCGTGCAGATGGTGCAGGTCAGGGTTCAGATCGTCGGTCCCGAGGACAGTCTCATCGACCCCGACGAGGACGTCTTTGCCAGAGACCCGCCAAAGAAGGCCGGCGTCCTTACCAGCGCGAATTTGGAGCTGTACCTCCCGCCCATTGACCTCGAGCGACCGCCGCAGCCGTTAGCCCTTCCTGCACCAACAGCGTCGATCGTCGAAGTTGTCGATCGTCCAGCAGCTGCCGGCACTGTCAACGCCAACAGCAATACCAAGAAGCTGCAGAAGAAGAAGGTCGGTTTGACCGCTGATGTACAGAAGCGCGCTTCGTCGAAACCATCCAAGGCGTTCGGCAAGGTCATCTCGCACCTGTCTCTCCAGCCAGCGAAGAGAGAGGTCGCTGCCGCGGTCAAGGCGATGCAAAACAGGAAAACGATGAATATCGTACACCTCTCGCCGGACTACAAGCTTCCCGAGTTGGCGTTGGCGGAACCGCTGAACGTGTCGTTCCTCGCCAATGTGAAGTCGCCGCCGCTCGCCATCATGCCGGCTGCTCCTGTGGGTGCTGAGAAAGGTCCTCGGAAGAACACCAGCCCCTCAAACCGGGCAACGACGGCCCCTTTCCCAACAGTTCCACGCCCCAAGTCCCACCCACCTGACGCTCCCAAGCCAGAACCCGCTCAACAGCAGCCCACAGGTCCATCAAGCATCGCCTTCCCTCAAGGTCAACGCTCACGCCCACAACGTCCCTCTCGGCCACCCCACCTGACCCCGTTCCCACTTCCTCTCCACATCTCGCAATCCCAGCACTTCCCTCTGCCCGCTTTCCAGCACCCGCACCCAGCAACGCCTCGTCGTGCTGCGAGCCCTCCACCTCTGTCGACACCTATCGCTGAACTCACGCCCGGTCCCCCTCTCACAGCGACGGCGATGCGTAAAGGCCACCGGAGGTATAAGTCATCGCCGGCTGTGCCCGATTTCATGCTCGAGGAGCTGGCGAAGCAACACGGACATGGACAAGGGAAGAAGCGGTGGGACGTGGAGAGTATGCCGCCGCTCCCACCCATGCCGGCCTTGCCTGCGGGTGCCAGTGGGAATGGTGCGATGGGATTGAAGACGACGATGGTGGGACAGCCACCTGCGATCCCGCCGCGGTCGACTGCCCGACCGAACTCGAAGTTAATCGCGGAATCGGTTATAGCCCCCACAGGTGCACCGGTGACGAGGGCGAGGGCGATGAGCACTACGAATCGTGCGACTGTACACGCGCCGCCCGCGAAGGTAGCACCTCCTTTCCCACTTCCTCGATAATAGTAATATCGCCACATGGCTCCAGAATGTTTGCTTTTCCCGCTGCATAGTTGCATTGTCACTACTGTCTTTAAATTCATATATACCTTTGCATATATCATCTGATCCGCTACATTGACAGATTTATTGCGACAAAGCTGATCATTGAGATCTGAGAGCACGTTGAAATACTGACAGTTCGATTTAACACCAAGAAATCAGCTGCAGCAGGCTGTGTGCGCCACAGTCACGACCTAAAAATAGCTATCACTGGATAAGGTTATCTCCTTTACTAGGTGCTGTGGAATTTTCTCTGAAGATTGCACATAGATGGAATTCGTGTCCACATCTTGGTCAAGGCCAGCATAGTTTTCACTTTTTATTACTTGCGGTGTTATTCTGCCGACTCTGTAGATTTCAGCTGCGAAGTGTGTTCGGAAGGAGGAGGACAAGGATCCTTTGCAGACCCATGGCAGATGATATGCTTTGCAACTCATTCTTTCAACATCCCGCTCTTCTTCTGGGTTGCAGAAGTATTGCAGAGTCGTGGTTGTTGAGTACTTTGAGTACTTATGGACCTGAGATGTGAGAAGCCCTCTTTCTGATTTCTTTGCTCTTAGGCTGCCAGTACCTAGCTTCGCAAAAAAAATGTTCCGCAACCGACTCGGAGGTGGGGGCTTGGGACTGGGATTCAAGACGTTTTATTTGTCACAAGAACGACGAAAAGCCCTATTTAATATAGGTTTCTTCATCGTGATTGTCATCGGCTCTGGACTGTATTCACAAATCCCAGAACGAATTATCAAGAGTACTTCTCGTCTCGAACAAAATGAGGGCAACTGATCGCAGCCAAGAATGGAAACAGGACTCCTATTTTTGGAAGCTTTTTTCATGGCCTAGGCGGTGTGCGAAGCCTTATGAACGGTTTCTAATGGACTTCGATATCGTATCTCATGTCCCCTCGCGTTCAGAAGGTCTTCGTCATGAGATCGCCACTGTCTTCGAACTAACAGGCAGAACAATTCGCCTCCTCGGCTGCTGATGCATCAGATCGATGACCGCGACGATTTTCTTCCACACGTCGCAGCTGGCCTCACGTTCCCCACCTGCAACTTACTAACGACGTAAAAGATGCCTTACCCATCCTACTGTCTGACTAACACACGTCTACCTTAGCAACAACCTTTCTGGGGGGTTTGATGTACGTAGAGTAAGTAAATAAAAGGCCATTCGGAAGCGCTTCAATCGGACTCCAAGTTGGGACACCTTCCTTGCCTCTTACCATCATGTCGCCCGACCTCGTCCATCATGGCGTCGAGTACACCGTCTCATCTGAACCTCCCAAAGCACATCTGCCTGTCGACGAGTTTAGGCTTCGCGGCATCAAATATGTTCGAATCCAATGGGTGGATCTTGTCAATCATATCAAACATCGCGTCGTTCCGATAACCTACTTCGAGAAGCTGCTGCAGACGTCGAGGCCTGGCTCATCGCTGACGAGGGCCACTCTGGGGCTCGTGTTCGTCACCGTTGCTGAAGGTTTCAGGTGGGTGGCTTGGACGGAGTTAGTAGATTGGATATGAGCTGACAGACGCGTTTACAGTTCCACTGGGGAATGCTTGTACGCCCTCGACTTATCGACGCTGAGATTGTGCCCGTATGCACCGGGCCATGCTAGCGTTATGGGCTGGTTTGAGGAGAAGCAGCCGAGGGCAGGTCTGTCTGGACATCGGGCACTCGAGATGGACATCTGTCCACGGACGATCCTACGTCGAGTGGTGGAGTGAGTGCTTGCAATCCACGTCCCATTGATCAATCCTAACCAACAGTGATGCTTAGAAATGCCAAAGAGCTCTCAGGGATTGAATTCCTCATCGGCTTTGAGACCGAATTTATCTTGCTCAACAAAATATCACCCGTCGAGGCGGTCAACCCGCATGGGTGGTGCGACTCCAAAGCGCTCCTCTCTGGGAGCACGGAGGCTGTAGTTCTCGAAGAGATAGCGGATTGTCTCGCCGCTTCTGGGGTCGAGCTGCAGATGTATCACGGAGAAGGAGCACCAGGGCAGTACGAAATCGTTACGGGCCCTTTAGCCCCGCCGCAGGCGGTCGACGCACTGATACATACGCGAGAGACGATCTACAACGTTGCTAACAAGCACGGACTGACAGCGACTTTGGCGCCACGGATTTTCCTTGATAATTGTAGGTCCCAATCCTTCGTTTATCCTTCTCGTGCTGAAATACTACACTCAGGTGGCAGTGCTACACACGCCCATATCTCCGTGCACGCGCCTAGTAACGAAACCCCCGAGCCTTCGTTGCACGCCAACCTCACTACACTCGAAGAACACCTCCTTGCGGGGATCCTGGCGCACCTGTCCTCCCTTACGCTCCTCCTGATGCCCACGAGCGCCTCGTACGCCCGCATGCACGACGGCGTCTGGTCAGGTGGAACCTACGTCTGCTGGGGTACGGACGACAAGGAAGCACCGCTGCGCCTGTGCAACGCTGCCTCGCCTTCCTCACGCAACTTCGAGCTGAAGACGCTTGACGGAACGGCGAACCCATACCTCGCTATAGCGGGCGTCCTCTCAGCGGGCTTGGAGGGTGTGCTCGAGGAGCGGGCGCTCACCATCAAAGATTGCCATGGAGAGAAGAGCGCCGCGCTGTTGGGTGACAAGGGGCGGGCAGACCTTGGGATAACCGAGCGGCTCCCATTAAGTTGGGAAGAAGCGAGGGTCAAGTTCGAGCAGAGCAGGTGGGTCGACAACGTGTTCGGGAAGGAATTCAAGACGAAGTACCTCAGTGTCAACAAACTCTTGAAAGAACTTTCAACTGGTGGTCGTACGGAAGAAGAAGCGTTGAGGCTTCTTGTCGAAAATTATTGATTGGAGCAATGGATCCTGGGTCGCACCCCTCTATCTATGTAAAGCTGATGTAGGCGCCCCATTTCATTACCGGTAGTAGATCGAGTAGAATCTAGAAGCCTTGGAAATCTGTAGAATAGACCTGGCGCTTAAATTCAATGTTAAGAGGCTAGACCGTGAACGGAGCCGTCATTTCAGGTTGGGATATCCTTAGGTCAGAATTTTCGACTCCAGATCTGGAAGTCGAGTTTCCAAAATGCCACTGGCTGAATAAGCGCCAGTAGTTGCTAGATCGGTGGGTTACTTGAATACTTCTGATTTGGAAGCGTGGCCCGTGCGCTGGTGTTATATAGAAGGGCGAGGGACCGGCAGGCTTCATGATTTCCTTCCCCTTATCTACATCCTTGTCGCATTGGATATTGGCCATTGAGCTCATCGCGTACATATCTTGTGTGGCGCACGCCAGACGCTTCTATACTTAGCCCCCAGGTGTTGACATTTCGGAACAAGAGGTCTGTGGGTTCATTCTCTCGACATTCGGACTGACCTTTAGGGCGACAGATGTTGTGGCATAACAATCCCAAAGATAAGAGGAAGTGCAATGGCTCATCTGGGATCAACACCTTGCTCGAAGTAGACTCACTCAGTACTAAATTTCCAAAGAAGCGGTGATAGCAGCTGCCACTTATACTCCCATTTAGCGCCCGGGCTTCTGAAGGCTCCTCCTGATATCTACGGAACGCCTTTTTATTTCCGGGTTTTGTCGTCGAATCTTCCGCTGTTCGACACTGCTTTGTCGAGCCCGACGAACACCCCTTCAACCGGCCTCACATTTTCACCGCAAGAAGGGGAATATTGCGTCGACGTTGTTTCTATACGCTCGATTCCGTAACGAGCGTCAAGGGCACGAGCTTTATCCGGACTTCTCTTGTATTTCCCCCGAGGGATATTTTGTTCGAGGATGGCCTGCAACAGCCTATGACGGCCACTAGACACCGCCCAAGAGGATTTTCCGAGGCTGAAAAGCGAAAAGTGGAAGCCTCCGGGTTTCATATTGACCGCCAAGATCACTCCATCATGTGTGTTCCCTGTGTTCTGTCAAGGGGGTTTGAACGTTTGAACAGCCTACTCGTTACACTCTTGACGAACGGTGTCTGGCTAAAGATGAGTTGAATCGTTATTCTGCAATTTAAGCTCGTTTTGAAGCAATTTACAAGATTTTTCAAAAATAGTCTCCGTCACCGTACAGCGCGTGTTTCGCATGGTATGGCCAAAAGCGGATGTTGATTTCGTCACGATCTCGAGGCTTGGATGCTTGGCTTCTGTCTTGGCCATCTCCATAACAGTGCGGGTTCCTTTTTCTTTGTTTGCATCGTTGTAACCTCCACCTCGCCTCGCTTTTCATCTCTCATCACTCTCTGTTCGCGTTCTTTCACGCTTCATTCGTTCTCTCTGGCCTCGATCCCCTCTACCTATCTCCTAGCTTCCCCCTTATCTTCGCGACCAATCTCCTACCACCTAAGCCATTGTCAACATGGTCAACCTCGACAACGCCATCCTTCCCGCTATTGGTCTCATCTCTGCCACTATCGCAGAGTTCAACGCCTTCCCGTTCTCGCCAGGCTTCGACATTAAAAAAGTCGCTGCCCAAGCGGTCGCCCTCCCCACCCACTCCTGGGAATACGGAACAACAACTCAAGCCCTACTCGAGCTGTATAACCCGGAACTCTCGGTATTCGGACAGTCGCCCTTCCCGGTGCCCTCGGTCGACGTCAACGACATTCGTGCGTTGGGCTATGTAGCGAAGAGCGTTCGATTCGGAAATGGCTACGCTGCGCTGGACAGGGGAAACGGCGCTGCCGGTGACCCCGCAAGCATGGGCGTTGGCGCCCTGATGGTCGGAAAAACCAATGCGACGTTCGCCAAGGCCGCCGACGACACTATCAAAGGCCTCCTAGAGGATGTTCCCCGTTACTGGAACGGCGCCATCTCCCATCGTGCCAACACGGCTGAGCTTTGGTGCGTTGTTTGAGCCTAAATGGTTGACCTTGTGTCTAATAACAAGAACAGGGCCGACTTCATGTATATGGTCCCTCCCTACCTTGCGTACTACGCCGCCGACAAAGAAGACGAAGGATTGCTCCGCGAGAGCGTTCGCCAATGCCAACTGTACCGAGATATCCTCCAATCCGACACCAATGAGGCGTACAAAGGAGCATGGAGGCACATCATCGGCCCAGAGAGCCAAGACACCGGCCTCTGGTCGACGGGCAACGCCTGGGCTGCAGCTGGAATGACGCGCGTCCTTGCGACCGTCAACAAGTCCTCCTTCGTCACCAACTCCACCTGGCGCGCACAGGCGACGAACAACCTCACGCGCTACATCAAGGAAATCGTCGACGGCGCGCGGGGCTCTAACCAGCAGGACGGCCTCCTCCGCAACTATTGGAACGACCGCAACACGCAAGGGCACGGCTTCGGCGAGATCTCCGGAAGCAGCCTCCTTGCTGCTGTCGTTTACCGCATGGCCGTCCTCCAGCCCGAGGTGTTCACCGCGTCGTACGTGCAGTGGGCGGACGACCTCCGCACGACGCTCGCTGGGAACGACGCTAACGGCAACCCGCACATCACGAGCACTGGCATCGCAACCCCCGCCGTCAACCCGCTTGGATGGCTCGACACTCGCCCATTCACCAAGGGCAGCCCTGAAGGCAACGCGTTCGTTGTCCTGATGTACGCTGGCTGGAGGGACTGCGTCAAGGCGGGCAAGTGCAGTGCGACAAGCACAGGCGCGGGCTCCGCTGAGGCGCTCGTTGCGGCTGCTGCTGCCGTCGACAGTCTCGCCGAGACCAACGCGAAGCGCGAAATCAGCCCCAGCTATATCCACCGTGCGGCGCGCAGGCACCTTGGAACCACCCACCACTCGACGAACTAAGCCGCGTTCGCCCATCTCTCGTGATAAATTATTTGGAGTAAGTTAGCATCCTTTGGAGGAATACCGACAGCGTACCCATTAGAGTCTCATACCCCACGACACGACCCTCATCATCAATCATCAATCATCTCAAATTCAAACCCCCTCATCAAAACTCCACATCTCTTGCCAACATCTTTCCCTCATCCGAAACACCTAAGACGCTCGTCCCATCTCAGCGAGCGCCTTTCTTCTCATGTGCCATATACCCTTTACCCGTCTTCTTGCCCTCATCTTTCATCCGGCCTGTACCCTAATCAAACTCCCCCGCACCGCCTCTTCACCCACTCACCCACTCACCTGGTCATATTATTTATTGCCCTTCATACACCATCCAGGAAGGACCTTCACCCTTAATTCTCACTTATTCTTATATCCCCTTTGGCTTAACGCCAAAGGTTGATCTAGTTACCCACTGTGATGACCCTCATCCACAGTTACTCACCCGGATTGCGCACTCGTCTATCATCGACCCACCACCGTTCATCGACATCAACCAGCGTTCATAACCCATCGCTTATCAGCACCCCTCCGAGTCCCTTGACAGCAGGCAGAGTATTGGTCGCAGTCCTTTTATTTCGCATTATTGATATGTAAAGGCTTGGTCCTTGTGCGCTGCTTTTGCGCTTGTTCTGTTGTCGTTATCTGGGCCACTCGAATTTAAAGTTGAAATTGGATGTTCGTGGGGTGTTTTAATAGTGCTCTGGTTCTAAATTCTAAGGATTTTTGCTGAGAAGACGGATATGGAGTGGTGGGTGATACTAGGCCATCCAACGCAACATATTCAGTTGATCATTCGTCGAAGTACTACTGGGGAAATGCCCCACCGTACAGTGCGCTGCATTGAAAGAAGATTTTCAGGACGTCGATTCTTCCCGCTAGATTTTCCTCGAAGAACAGACTCATACCCCTAACAAAAGAAGGCAGCCTCCCAATTCAAAATTATATACCACGGGCTGCTGCGGCTCTCAGAACAGACCCATCAAGCAGTTGCAGTAGTAAAACACCCCCTGGAAGGTCCCATTCTACCGTTACCTACACTGGATATTACTGAAGGTCATACGACCATTGCTTCCTCTCGCTAGACTTTCCTTGAGGAACGTAGGCTCACCCCTAGCGAACCTCCCAGTTCCAATCGTACACGGGCCACTGCGGCTTCACAAAAACCCTGCATCTATTTACTTATAAATTTGGACCGCTTTTATATCCTCCACTCTTCAAATTATAGCCCAAGTACGAAACCTCCTTTTACGTTCTGATTGCTGTGGACTGTGGCGCCAACTCTATTTGGGGATGAATTGGTACCGCCTTCGCACGTTCCATACACACCACTCCGTCGACTCGGCCGACTCCACTGGCCTGCCAGTGGTGGCATCACGGTGAACACCACGGCGCGAGTACAGAGGGTATTGGGTGTTGGGAATACAGCACCTAGTTTCTATTGAAGTGTATCAGGAAATTGTTGTTTATTCGTTATCCATGATGCGACGAGGATGCAATGGAGGTAAGTAGAACGGAAGTCGATGCACAGCTGACTGTACACAGCACGGACAGAGGGAAGGGGGAGAGGGAGCTTCGAATAGCGGAAAGAACGCTAGAGGCAGGTGCAAGGAAAATAAATTCCGGAATACATTATCAGATAGCTTGTGTTTTCCGTCCCGTCCAAAAATACCCCGCTGCTATAAATACCGTATAAATGAACCATAAATACCAAGGAAAGTCGCGGCCCTCTGGAGACGAATGACCAACCTCCCGTCATGAGGACGAGAAGCCGGAAGGCGAGAGGCAGAGCAGGGGGTACACGCGGATCGACAATAATTAATTATAGCACAGCGACGGTGATTTCGGTATGAGGCACCTGACAGCGTGTGCGGGGGCAGTAGAGGTTACTTTGGTGCGAAGTGGCTTTTCGGCGGAGGGGAACCCCTCGTGAAAAAACCTGGAGGTTAGAAGATGTATTTCGAGAGAGTGAGTGCTGGCCACGGAGATGATACGGTAGAGAGGCGAAGTGAGGTGTCCATCTCAGGATCGATGAAGACCCAAGGGCTCAAGACAGCTCAGGACCACGTATGCCCTTCTTTCATGTAATAATCCGAGATACACAGTATACGTGGATGTAAGCGGCTGGGTCCCATTGGGTCGCTTCACGATCCGGTGAGAAACGACCAGAGGACCGACCCCCCGAGGGAGTTTCCGAAGTCGGCGACAAGGAGCAGAGCTGATGCACAAATCCAAGCGGTGTCAAAAGCGCGATAACCGTCCGCTTTTCCTTGTCGAGTCGGATATGTGGTAACTGCGAGTAGGTTAACCATCCTAAGTTTTCCGATGCATTGTATGTAGAGGTTAGGACGGCTGAGGTGAGGGATGATTAAGTGGCCTCGGACTCGGAGTCTCGTTCTCTGTATGAGGGACGGAATTAGACGCGCAGCGAGTAGCCGGAGAAGATGACGGAGAACCTAGAGCCTGTTTCTGGGCCTGGCGAACTGAACTAACAGGAGGCTACCGGAACATTGTTGAAGTCCTCATTGGGAAGAGAAGAACATAGCGGACCGATAGTTCAGATGTCGAAGCTGTCCATGGACGTAGGGTAGGAGGGCAATTCGGGCAGGAACAAGTAACATATTTTAAGAAAATACACCTGCGTGCGAGGAAGGGTGCTAGAAGAGCATCACCTGGAAAAAAGCCAAGTCCTCTGAGAACGCCGCCAGAGAGCTCGAGCAGGGGCTTGGAGCTGATAAACATAGATAAGACTCAGACCAGCGCGATTGAGCATTGCCATTCGGAAAGCCGTATAGAGCCCGAAAGAATGACACAAGAATGTCGATACGCCAGCAGGAGAAGAGAACCGGCTCTGTTAGGTATGTGTCCTTTGGCGAGATGGTGCGCTTTGGAATAGGCCACGAGGACTTTAAATAGATTTTTATGGACATGCGACACGGATTCCAGAACTTCGAAGACGGGTACGTATGATTTCGATTGGATGAGAGGTGACAGCAAGACACGGAACATAGGTCTTGTCGTTGGAGCTGTACGGATAAACGCCTAAGAAGAATTTTTGAGACTTCACAAGAGAATTTCTCTGAAAAAGGGGCTTGGGTGTGTAACTTATCAGACGGGGTTTGCCAGAGGTGGTGAGAAGACAAGAAGAAAGGGAGGACTCTTCTGAAGCCAAGAACCCCGCAAAGGATTCCCACGTGGGCTGGAAGGGAAAAAACTCCATTTGTCGATTGACCCAAAAGTCAAAATGCATTTTGCCAGAAAAAAAGGATGTGAATTCTGCGCGCCAGTTTCCTCGACGACGATGGCCGGGAGACTGCGCGGAGCTGAAACGCAGATATACTCTGTGCACGACGGGGACACGGGTGTACCGAGGGCAACCGAGGTGATACTTCCTAAAGCGCATGGAGTAGTAAAGGGAGTAAAAGTGACAGATTGAGCGTAAATGGTGTGCAGTGTACACCCATTGACGTTGTTCTAAAAGCTTGTGGAGCCTTTTCTAGACTTGACGCGAAATATTTGAATTGTCCTATATATACCCCATCCCTGTTCCTTGATCCTCTTTTCCTTGCTTCCCCACCCTCAATCCTCGTCTTCCTCGTCGTGCACAACAGCGAGCATATCATGTCGACAACCGACAACCCAACAACGCAGCAGAATGCAGAAGCGTCGACAAGCGCGCCGTCCACAACAACGGCGTTGCAACCGCCAGCAGCGCCGTTTGCTGCCACGTCTGCTGTCCAAGACTCTGTTCCTCCATCTGCAAGAACGTCATTTACCCTCCACTACGACGACGACGAGCTCAGATCGCGCCCCTCGACGTCACGCGCCGCCCCTGTACCTCCCGTCCCCACACTCCCCGCATCACACGAGTCTGCCAACAACACACGGGTCTCGCCTATAATATCCATGGTTTCGGAAGCCCACAACAAGCCTTCACCCAAGCTAGAAATGCCTGCACAAGCTCAGCTCACTGTTGAGGAGCCTGTGCCACAAATGCCACAGACATACGTGACGTTTTTGCTCATCTCCGGAAAGCGGCGGACGATGTCTTTCGAGCCTGAGACAACTATCGGCAGAGTGAAGGAGCTCGTATGGAATTCATGGCCAGCGGGTGAGTGAACCTGTAACTCATTTGACCATGGAGAGTTTGCTAAAGGATGCCTTTCACCTTCTCTGGGTCATTCATCTGCCACTTTACGTCGTTGCGGCTGTTTCACCTTGTCCCCCTTCACATAATGGACAACCACAGACTGGCAAGACGACCGTCCGCCAGCCCCGTCTTACCTTCGGGTGCTCTACCTTGGCAGAATGCTGCAAGACGATGAGACTTTGATCAGTACGTCCTTCCGCCCCTCTTACTCCACCCAAAGCCTCTTCTGTTCTTGTCGATTTGGGGCGAGGTCCCTGTCATAGACCTTCGAACCCGTATCGCCCCTTCGTATTTCTGGACTAGGACCAGGGACGACGCTCGTTTTACACCCGTTTGCGTCGTTCTATGCGCGAGTGCTACAGCCGATCTGGTGGGCATGAAGGCCCTAGCTTTGCCCACACAGGCATATCTTTCCCTTCCCCTTTCGTTTCCTAGCACGAACCCGCGTTCCGAGCCGGGGTTTCCAGCTGATCCCGTCCTTCCATTTCCACCCGCTCCTCTACTTGCCCTTTCTGAGCCCAAATAGCACACTGACGCCTCTTCTTCCCTATTCCATCTTCCCATCTCGTCTGAAAATAGAACTCAAGCTGCCCACGCACACACCTCAGCAGCCACCGCTAGCCACACCGACATCGCCGTCATCAGCCGGTGCTGGACCCACACCTACGATCATGCACCTCTCCATCAGGCCGTACGCACCCCCGGGCGAAGGAGATACGATCAAGAAGAAGAGGAGAAGGGGACAGGATGGTTAGTACGATTTCTTTCTTTTGTTCGGGGCTGGGTGGTATGGTCTTGTGTGAATGGAGAGCTGATTATAGTTTGGTTTTTCGCGTTTGCGCTTTTGGTGTTAAACAGACGGATCTGGGATGAACGACCAAGGAGAGGAAGATGGTGGTGCGGGATGCTGCAGGTGTATCATTTGCTGAGGCCTTGCATGCCTATCATGACGACGGCAGGTGGAACGGTCGCCTTTGGACCGTTGGAACATTTGGATTTCATCGAAACGAACATCCCGAAGGTTGATTTTCGGCCGTAGATGACGGACACCAGGGGACTTTTTATTTAACAGCATATTCTATCGCCGTCGGCACATTCGTTCACCCTCCCTATCACCATACCTCCAACCGTCACCTTTTCAACACCCCGACTGGGCGTTTATTTGAAGATGTTGCAAGCTATCGCTACCTTGAAACACGTCCTCTTCGAGCCGTCCCCTTCGAATAACATCACTTCGGGCAGCCGCTATCTCGAAATTAAAACTCGTCAACCGTCAACTTGCCAAAACCTCGCTGCATCCTCGTGCCATGAAGCCCTTCAACATAACAAGTTCGCAGCCAGCGACTCTCCGTTAACTTAGGGCTCCTAGCCCTGCCCTTCCCTGCCCAGGCCGTCTTCCGATTACCGCCCTCCGTCGAACACCGTCCCGGTGCGATTGAAGTGCCACCCCTCCACTTTTCACACCCGAATCAAGCGGCGAGCATAAGCTTGCGCTCTCGCAGCCTAGCTTTGCGTCATTATAGCACGACAATCTCCGAGAGCCTTTCCGCGGATCGACCAACGCCTCCGAGTCGTCGACGGCGACACGCAGTCTCCCTACGCCGCCGCTAGTGCCCCCATTCGGCACGCATATACACACCCACCTGACAGCCCGTCGACAGCCCTAGTCCAACCACTCTCTTGAACTCGCCACTTGCACCTTGCATCCAAACACGCATTTCGCCTCTTGCATTCCTGCTCTACATTATTGCACACCCAGCCCCTCTTTCCTTCCTTTATTTTGCTGCACTTCGTTTCGCTTGTTTGTTGGGCATCGTCCTCCGAGCGGATGGTCTTCAAGTGCTCGTCGACGTCGTATCAAGGATTTCTTCCTCTCTTTTCTTCTTTATAAGTCAGCTCTCTTTCTCCTTCCTTGTCTTCATCGTCTCTCTCGTCAACTCTACGCGCATCCATGTACCATTATAATGCACATACAGTCACACTCATAAGTACATTCCTGCTGGTTGTTATCTTCTACCGTGGTGTGAGCCTCGAAGCTTGAAGCTAGAACACCGAGATGAATGCATATGCCCGTCGATCGTCGCCGCGTCCCGCGGTTGAGAACCAGTCCTTCAGAACGTTGCTTCTAGTTACTTGCGTCGCAGATCCCCAAAAAAACGATCAACATTGCAATCACCTTAGAGGTGCTACCAGGGTTCGAACCTGGGTTTCGGGAAGACAGCAAGAGACCTCAAAATCCCGAGTGATAACCACTACACTATAGCACCATACTCAGAAAATTCTGATTTGTGCCACCTGGATCTTATTATCGTAGGAAAGGTCCTTAATCTTATCTTTATTCTCCGATAATAGGAGAAAAGGATGTGATGCGCTTTTGAGCCGCCTCCAACCAGAGAAGGCTGATCCTGCAATTTTCTGAACAGAATTAATCTGTTGAATTTTCATTCACGTTTCTCTTGTTGAGGAATGGTTCCCGCTCAGCAGAGCAAGGAGCGGCCGCGTTTTAATTTTTCGCGTCCCGATTTGGAACCTGATTTATGGCGCGAGGGCGATCACGTGTTGTGACAAATTGTTCTCTGATTCTGAATCTACCTGACCGTTGGATCTGACTCCTAGCCAGCTGCCGCGTCTCCGCCTCATATTCATAGCCATCCGTCAAGCACGCGTACTGCCCAGTACCGCCTTTCGCGGAGAACTTAAGAGCAGCATACAAATCTCAGAACCCTCCACTGACCATGTCATCGAGGCGGATTCTCACTACCTGGAGGAACCCAGTATGTGCGCGTAGAAAACCATGCTGTTAAAGTTTTGGCTAAAAATGCAGGTGTAATTAGTGTTCTGAAAAGCCCTCATGGTGCTAAGCCAGAGCAATTGCTTGACCCAGATACAGGTTCAGTTGACGTACCCATGATGGACCAACTAAACGACTGAAAGGACAGAAGTAAGGGCATGCAATGAGAAAGTTGAAAAGGACGTGTCGGAGTTTTCTGAGGGATGCGACGTGCGCGTGTGTTTTCTTCATCTATTCCTTCCCTATCGGCCTCAAGTCCGGACTTCTCACAGGAAGACATCCTTGACGCAGTTGAAGACGAGAATTTCTCATTCAATTCCAGTTTTCTTCCCTCTCCTCCTGAGCAGCGGGTCCCATCCCTGTCGACGCCACTGCCACTTGAATGCATGGTGTACCCGCTCAACTGGCGAGCAAAAAATGAAAAGCTGGTTCTGTCATTTTGGGACCGGTTCTTGATCTCACAGGAGAGGACATTGACTGAATCTTCTATATCTTACAACGCTACGATCACATAATACTCATCATAGATGTATATTCAGCGATATTGTCCCAATCTTAAATCACTCAGACTGTCTGAATTTATATGCTTATTATGCTGTTCTAAGTACGAAACCCTTTGGGTGGATGCGCCACACAAAATACGTGCTCCTAATGGGGAAATAAGGACACCTAGTCCTTTCGTCATAGCCCTCCAACCTGGCACAAGCGCACATCAAATCATAAATAGACCCCTTCTCGAAGGCGCTGAACCCTTGAGCGCTTGAGCACTAACACCTTCGTCCATCGTTTGGGGTGCGCCAAGGTGACCGGCCTCTACAATGTGGCCTACGGGGATTAATTAAATTAACTGCGCACCGACAGGGGATTTTTTCCTAGATCAGTATGACAATTGACGCTCGCGAGTACCTCCAGGCGCGTCATTCACCACGACCCCACTCGACTCTGCCAACCCCACCGGCACGACGTACATATGCACATATGTTTGGTTAGTTGACATAGGCTCTGGGTTGGCTGTACTAGTGCAGGTGCGATCGGCAGCTGGCAGCACTTCCAAGCTTACTTAGAAACTCGAAGAGGCGAAATTTTGCCCGAGTCTCAGTTATTAATTTCCCATAACCTCGACGTATGAGTTGCGTAAGAGAGGAAGAAAAAATTGGCCTCCGCAGCTCTGCAGGAAGTTCTTGCTAGGTTAGTGGCTGCGAAGAAGTTGAGAACGGATGTCCGACGGGTGGAAGTCCAGAAGGCAAATGGATGCGGACTTGGCAAGCAACCATCTCTCTCTGGGCATCCAATCGCCGAACGAAACGAACTGAAGACTTTTCGGAGGACAGATAAACGTCTCTCTGGCGGGGATTGAACGCACCGGAGTTGCAGTCAAGGGCTGCTCTGAATCACACACAATACACAAATCACACATGGTTCCGGGGGAGTGAAAGGCTCCGATTGGCCGAACGGACATCCGTGCCGACAGCGCCAAGCCATTTCGTCACAAATCCACATAAAGGCGAGCATTTTTTCCAACTCGGTTCCTTGCTTCCCCCGCCCACCTCGTCTCAACGCTCAGTCGCTCAGGCGCACCCAGCAAGCACTCATGGCACTCGATTCAGGAAAGGCTATGGCCCCGTCGACTACGGACAATCAAGAGACAATATCCAACGCCGATATCAACTCCCTGAACAAAGACGTCGAGCGGAGAGGACCTCAGCAAGTCGTGTCGCTGTGGAACTACCTCCAAGCGGAGGTAGACCCGAAGCAGTCGACCGTACCACTCGCGATGTACTGTTTCATGACTGGTTATGTGTATGTCGGACTGTCTTCGATTCGGAGCAACCTGCGCTGACTTTTTTTGTGTTATCAAGCGACGTTGTTTCGTTCTCTGCAATCTTCGTATGGTGTGGTTTCCAGACGGGTAACTTCGCTCAGGTGCGTCTACGGGCGAATGTTGCGATGTCTCACTCTGGGCTAAACCTCTGGCTAGCTTGCTCTCGCCATCGCACGCCTATTCGAAGGCCCTCCAGGCTTCCGAGACACGACCTTCCACAAAGCCGATCAACAGGCCCTCTGCTCCCTTATCGCCTTCAACGCTGGCGCGTTCCTTGGTCGAATCGGTGACCGTATAGGCGCACAAAAGCGGATATGGCTCGTCGCTGGCACTTTCATCCAAGCGCTCTTCACTATGGCCTCCGCCATCGCCTTCTGGCAGTCCGGCCAGCCGAGCATTGCGAATGAGAGGGATGCACCGGCATGGACAAACCTGCTCACTTTCGTTGGCATCGCGTTCATGAGTGCTAGTTTGGGTGTGCAGGGTATTCTTGGGAAGAGGCTGAACACGCAATTCGGAACTACCAGTACGTTTCATTTCCTTATCGATTTTCGCAGCCTTTTTTTGGTTTCGCTATTGCTTGGTCCGTCACCTTACCTATACTGGTCTCTTCCTTACCCCGAAGGGTATGCCCAAAGGGACAGCTATCGACTTGGTATTCACTCCTATGGGATTTTGATTTCCCTTCTTTCCCTCTACTCATTGTCGTTCGTTCGTATTGACCATACTTCTCCCCGCAGTTGTTCTCACCACCGTCTGGGTCGAGCTTATGTGCGATCCGCTCCTCTTCCGGATCCGCCAGAGCGTCATGAGCCGCGACCATCGTCTTATCGCCGCTGTCGCCCTCTTCGTCGGGGCATTCATCGGCCGCGCCATCCTTGGCGAGCTTGGCACCGCGGCCACCATGGGCATCGGTGTCGGCTTCAGGGTGTTCATCATGTTCTCGTGGCTGTTTGTCCCAGGCAAGCCTACTTCATCTTCATGACGAGTTCAAGACTGGCGCTGCCTCCGCCATGTCTTACGTCGGCCGTTGGTTGACTGTACCATTTTTTCCATGCCTCCCACCCAGCATCCTTAGACGTTTCTTGTTCTCTTGCTTTCCGATTTGCTTTCCCTTGCACGAGCCCCTACACATCCATCCACACGCCTTCGCCTTGCCATCGGGCGTGGCATTCTAGAGCCATACACACCCACACCCACGCACCACTTAGACCATACATCCTTCCCCCTGAAACCCCTTCGCCCTTCCAGCCCGCCGGTTCCCCACCGACACTGATTACTCCTCTGCTCCACCTTCGTACCACGCCAAGCTCTCGAGACAATTTTTTTGCGTTGTGGGGGTTACTCATCTTGTAGCAATAATGATAGATCAAAATAATCCTGAACTTCCTTGCCACGAATTTCTTTTGCGTGTTCAAGGGGGACATGCGATGAGGACGTGACCCGACAAACAGCGGAGGCAGGATGCGCCGCAGGCATCAACATGACTAACAGGGGAGGGAGAAAAGAGCACTTATTCCCTCTGGAGAATCTGCTCTTGTAAACTGAGGACACGGACTATCCATTGCGCTTATAAGTGCTTACAAACCCCCAACGAAAATCTCGTCCGCGTCAGGAAATGTGCCTTCTAAATTTAGTCTCCTTCCCAAAATCTATAAATAGTGTGCTCGACCGAAATATCTCCCAGTGTGGCATGTTGTTGGAGCTTCCGTAAATCTCCGAGGTATGACTTGGACTTCTGATGGAGGGACACTCCGTGGAGTGTAAACTCGTATGGACTACAGGCAGTAGTAAGTACAAGTGCTAAATGTGCGAGGAGGATGGGTAGAAGTCCGTCACTTATTAATTTGACGCGTATCTTTATTGCTACAGGATAGGCTGGGGGATACAACGACAGTAGACCTGTGGAAAGGCTTTGAAATTCGTGGAACGGGACAAATGGATGCGTCCACGCACGGAGAGAATCGGGGGGTAGGAAATGGAAAATCTATGTGTGGATGTGGGTGTGGGTGATTCAGGAAATGTGTGGGTATCGATGCGGGGATAGGCATGAGAATATACGTGTGAACGGCTCTAGGCTGCCAGACGGACTGATGATGTTTTACGAGCTTCCGGAAGTCCAGGGAAAAGAGTAGCGAGTTCAAGGCTGTCAATAGCGTCATGACTTGTTCGGGACGAACAACCACGAAAAGGTGATGATCATGCGGAGCCCGACGCCAATGCCCATTGTCGCTGCGCTCCCGAGCTCGAAGAGGATCGCGCGCCCGATGAAGGCTCCAAGGAAGAGGGAGAATGCGGCGATGAGGCGGTGATCGCGCGTCACCACATATTGGCGGATGCGAAAGAGTTTGGGGTCGCACATGAGTTCGATCCAGATGGTGGTAAGGACGACTGTGGAGGAGAGTTAGAATATTCATGCATGGGAGAGGGCAAAGGGTGACGAGGAGAGTGATTAATGGGGTGTTAAGGAATACATGAAAGCAAGTTGTAAATCTTCTGGCCGGCAACGGGCGCTTATTTCAAGGGTGGAGTGTGGTGCAGGAGGTTGTGCAGCAGCGACGAAAGAGGGAAGAAAATACGAAGAGAAAGACTCACTGGTGGTCCCAAACTGCCTATTAAGCCTCTTCGACAAAATACCCTGCAGGCCCAAGCTAGCGCTCATGAGCGCAACGGCCACGAATGTCAGCGCGTTCGTCCACGCTGGGTCATCCCTCGCATTCGCGATACTCCCTTGTCCAGACTTCCATAACGTGATGGCACAGACCATGGTGAAGAGCGTCTGGATGAAGGTGCCAAAGATGAGCCACGCGCGCTTGTGCGGGCCTACCCGGTCCCCTAAGCGCCCAATGAAGGCGCCGGCGTTGAAGCCGAGGAGGGAGCAGAGGGCTTGTTGGTCGGCTTTATGGAATGTGAGATCCCCGGGGGCACCTTCGAATAGGCGCCCGACGGCAAGGGCGAGCTGAGGCATTCAAGTTCGGTTTAGCCAGAAAGGGGAAGGTGCATTTTACGGAATGGATGCATACCTGTGCAAAATTACCAGTCTGGAAACCGCACCATACGAAGATCGCTGAGAAACAGACAGCATTGCTAAGGAGAACGTGTAAATGTGCAGTAGAAACAAGACGGCCGACATACCAATAACCCGTCATAAAACAATACATCGCCAATGGCGCAGTCGTCCAGTTGGGATCTACATCTGCAAAAAGATACTTCCTCAGAGACATAAGCGACTTCGGCCCCGAATTTTCCAGGTCCTTGTTGTGCAAAGAATTGTTTTCCGAAGAGGGCATCGTGGCGGCTTCAACGTAGGTGACGGGCTGAGCGAGGGCTTTTTCTGACATGCTTCGAGTCGTAGCGTGGTCACCGTATATAATAGTGCTGCGCAACGGAGTTCAAAGGAGCGTGAGTGGGGACCTAGGCGCTACCGAGGGGGGACTAGGAAAAGCCCGCCGCCTTTTTGTGGGTCGTGGACGTCTATTTTTGGATGCGCCACGGCTCTCCGTTCGGCCAGTCGGGTATTGGGCGAGGGGGGTTCCCTCTATCACCGACCCTGAACTCCAGATTTTCATTTTTTTTTTTACCGCAGGTGTTGCTAAAAATATCCTAGGCGATCCATGAAACCGCTGCGAGAGCACCGGATCGCCCCGATCTCTGGTGGCCGATACCAAATGAATCAGTATAGGTCTGGCGATGCGCTTTCCCAATTCTTGGTTTTTCAGGCCAGTCTACAAACGTTGGTATGAACAGTCCACTTTCAAACTCTACATCGCCTGACTCTCCAATGGGAGACGTGTCCACCCTAGAGACCTTTAGTCTCTGGCACAATTAGTCGAAAGGCCCTTACCTTGGAGGGTTATTTACCGAGTGGAGATAGAAGCCTGCTCGGACGCTTGATATTTCTGCTCGTCGACTATGAGACTCTACCCCAGGTCGAGGGTTCAGACATGGAACCAACTTGAACTCTAATATTAAAGTCTCCCGGACATGTTCATTAGAGTAGATATCCCTCCTTTCGCGTGGGACTGAAGAGAAGTGTCGAAAGCTATGGAAATTGATCTTATCGAATTTCTGGTTCTGTGAATTTAATTCGAGGGGGTCAACTTCAGCGTCATATTCTCAGAACTGGAAATTCAAAGATGGTCCTCACTTACATCTACTCCTCAAAGGCCGTCGATTCGTATGTCATAATTTCCGGCGTTGTCCTAAGGAAGACCGCTTCCGCCTCGTTTCTTCACTCAAGGTCATATCTGCTTTCTTTATTTCCACAGAACGTCCTATTAATAAGAACGAACTGAGTAGATTGGTGGCATTTATCGCCAAAAAGAGACAGACACTTCTCCGTGGCATCTCGAGCGCAAGTTGTGTCAATTTTTCGGGGTACGGGCTGTTCCATGACTCTTGGAGGAGGTAATTACAAGTCAGAAAAACGAGAGGGTCCTGCTATAGAACGAAACAACATACAGCGCCTAGAGCCCGGCTGGAGTATACAAATTCCTTCGATCACGATAAGCGCCTACAAATACCATCAATCACGAGCGCGCCACCGTCAGCGCCTACAAATTCACTCGATTTATCACAAGCTCATCAATTGAAAAACTAGAATGGCTCCGTGTAATCCGGTATCTCCGCGAACTCGCTCTCCGAGAGCCAGTTGCACGAAATCACAGCAGGAAGGTTACTAGACAGCAGTTTCTGGCATTCGGCCCATCTCTCGGGCTCTCACCATTGCTGGTGTTCCTGGTCGTCATCTGACGTCTCCCTCATCCATCCATCTGAAATCCAGGCTCTCACAGTGCGGTGTTCCTGGTCATTCTTCATGCACTCGCTGGAACGTCATCTGCGTTCGCTGCTCACCATCCACCCCATGCTACTTGTTTTCCCTCTCGTCTTCCCCCTTGAATCTTTCTGGATACCATACGAGGCTACTAGCAAAGCGGAGAGGGGACCTGGCCAGCCGAATGCCACCTACAACGAGCTTCAGCGACGCCCTACGCAGCGAGAAGCTTCTCCGAGTCCGCCGGTGCCGGCCCGATTGGGCCACTAAGTGGCCAAGTGTTCCTGACTCTAAGAGGGCTCGTACGCGCGCGCCGAGTAACGCTGCTGCGCTGCCCAACAATCTCTAAGGACATCCAGGAGCTGTTCTTGAGAATGCTTGGTGTAGGGAACAAGGGCTTAAAAATGTTACTAGTCACGGAAACGGATGTGGTCCCAATTAGATTCCGAAGAATCGTATGTGCCCTCAATTACCTGCTGAGAACTACAGACGAGAAATAAAGCATGTGAGGCATGTGTGAAGACTAGACTGAGCCAACAAGAACTGGAATCCCTTCTTGGTTTATGGACCTACAATTATGTACAGGCTCGCTCGCTAAACAGCCATCCAGAATGGACCTATTCAGGCCAGAGAAGGTGAACCAGGTGATAGACAACCTCACATAAAGCTTGCATAAATATATACAACCTGCAGGTGATTGATGATTCTTTGAAGGCATAACTAGTACTTGCAGGGAGCAGGAAACTGAAAAAGGACTCACAAAACGAACTCCATGCTTTAGACACTACCTCAATGTGGCATATCATGAGCATTGTGAAAGCAATAACTCATATTACCGTGCCACAGCCTCGCGGTTTATCAATCGAGTCATAAACAGTCGGAATGCAAACAATAATGAGGACACCCTGCGAGAACCAATAGAGGACACCACCCTACACCCATGATCTAGGATGATAAAATATGAAATGGATAATATTGTGCCTACCTACAGCCCGTGCGTCTCGACTAGATAGACGTTCCTCCGAGAGGGGAAAAGCTCGTCAAGGAAGGGACGTACAGGTCCGAGACGAGGGTGCAGCATGGCTAAAAGGCCAGCTGGGGTAGTCTCGGGCCCCCGGTGTTCAGAAATGGACCGTACCGGGGTAAACCTCACCTCACCTCTCGGAGCGGTGGTAAAGGGGCCTGACCGTTAGATGACGTAGGGCCCACTCGGGGTATCGACGGTCAGTCATGTCTGTGACAAAGGCTTGGGCCTTCTCCTGCAACAGATAAACGCGGTATGGTCAGCACGACACGCTGAAGGGGGAAACAAAGAGGAAGGACGTACGGTATACGGGTCGTAATAGTAGTTAGGGGATCCATCGTCGTTGCTCACGAGCGAGTGGAAGCACAGCTCGAGGTGGTAGAGTCTCGGCAATTTGGTAGCGAGCAGGTCGAACAGGTCGCAGCTCAGGGTATGCATATGCAGCTGCAAGCTCCTAAGTTCCGAGTGTTCGTTGCTCAAGACGCCTACGATCCATTGTACCTGGTCTAACGTGAGCACATAGTCTCGTATGACAAGTCGTATGAGCGAATTTGCCATGCGTGCAAGGTACCCAGATAGCTCCTCTTCAACAGAGGAGTGAGGAGAATCGCGCCAATGGGATAGACCGAGGTCGAGCGTGGTGAGGTTTGGGAATTGGAGTTGGAAGACGGGATGCAAGAAGGTTGGCGGTGTTCCTGGAACTCCGTCTACGACTGAAGGTCCGGAAAAGCACAGTCGGAGGTCCTTCAGGCTTCTTTAGGAATGCGTCGATCCCAGTTGACTCTCGGGGGAAATTCCGGGAGTCTATGGGATGGTTGATCAAAACTTTTGTGAGACGTGGAAGGTGGCCGAGGTTTCTGGAAAGCACCACCAGGTCCACTTTGGCATCCGGAGTGTCGATTGTGAGCGAGGACAGTGAGGACGAGTGTTGGTTGATGAACGCTGCGAGTTCGGGTATAATAGCAGCGTAGTCTGTCATGCGATAGACAATTCGCAACGCAATGTTCAGCTCTTCTAGCAAAGGAAATGCGGGGCCTTGGGAGGAAATGGCCCCAAATACTTCGAGGGGGGTGTTGAACTTTAGATGGCGCAGCTGAGGCCCATGTGCGGCGAATGCAGCATCAACAAATGGCGTCGCAGCCCGGAACATCCGCCAGTCGTCCGAGGGGTAGCATGCAACTGTCAAGTTTTCCACCTCCGTCGGCAGAGCAATGTGTCGCAGCAGCATCCTGGCTGCGACTGAGTTGGGCGGCTCTATCTGTTTTTCCAAGGGCGCGTCGTTTGTCGCTCCAGGCTACCTCCAGCACAGGGGTATTTTCGAGATTGGACGAACTGGGCATTGACTTGCCGAAGCGGTGTGGGCGGAGGACGAGAGTGCGCACACGTTTCGCGACGATTGGGCTGAAAGAGGGTATATTTCGTCATCCTAAGACATCTTCTAGTATTTCCAAAGCTCACCTCATGTTCAAGAGCACTCGAAGAGTTCCCTCATCGCCGGCATCGTGAATTTTGACTGCGCCATAAATCGCATTATGTAAGAGCGATGTAGAAGAACGCAGAATTGACGGAGTAGAGCTTGACGAGACTATCCTTAGGTACAAAGCTTGCGATACAGCACCAGATGTCGTACGGAAGCGTTGGAATCATCGCAGAAAGAGGGATTCGAGAACCGAGAATCGTCCTCCCTTTTCAAGCCTCCGACGTTGTGCGGAATGGATGTGCCTGAGAAGGCACATCCTGTGCACGGGATCTCTTGATAGGTGGGTACGTGGGTGGCGATTGATGTTGCTGGCTTTGACAGAAATCGCAGAACTGCGCGAGGGATTTGAAGTTGGTGTAGGAACTGAACACGCTGTAACAGGTTGTAACATGTCGTGGGTAAATTTATCATCAGCACGTGATGTTAACCTTTATAATCCGTCGGATTTTTTCTTCGCTCTTTCAAACTCATTTCCTGGATTCGCACTATTGTCCCCCTGCGATTTACACATATCGGCTTGCAGGAGTCTACCGCGTGTCCTAGAGCGTTGGGTCTCAGCTGGAGCGCACTTCAGCCTTGAACGGTGGTCGGCAGATGTTGACTTGAGGTGGAGTTCCTTACCAGAGATCCTACATGTACCTTCATTTTACAACAGTTGCGAAGTTCGAATTGACAATAAATTGTTCTTATCTCCCTCTCTATGACCTCAACACTTTTGCTCTCGCCCTGTTTTCTCGCAGAGGCGCGGTTTTGACTGTGAGAATGATCAAACTTAATATGTTGAAAAGCGACGTCTAAGTTGGCTCGAGAGTGTAGCTAGAGGAAAACATATTAGGTGTGTAGCTACTTCCTACCTACAGTCAAACCAAATAACAAGCACAGGGCATAGATTTCAGTCGCTATCCTCTTCTGTGAGATCAATGACGGGACCCAAGATAACGGGACCACTTTTTCGTTTCTTGCCAGCAACTGGACCTGGCGCAAGATTTGGAGTAGCGTGCGCAGGTTGCGTAGAACTTGACGCTGCCGGTGGCTGTAGTGAAGCCATCGGGGGTTGCAGCGAGGTTGGAGGTCGCAGTGAAGCCATGGGTGCATCACCAACGGATGGCAGAGAAACAGCCGTTCTGACCATCCCAAACACCTGCATGCCATTGATCGCGCTAACGACGTCTGCATAGCGATCACCCATGATCTTCTGCACCAGTTCGTCCGACCCAATCGACGCCAGGAATGCCTTCGCCTCTTTCTGGCGTACGGGCCACTGGGCATCCCGCACGACCTCTGGCCGCTTCGTGATCTGCACCCCGTACGGCCTACCTGTGTATATCGTCTCGAACGTGCACAGGTCTGGGGCACCGCGGACACGCCCCTCGACGTGTTCGCGGCGGGACATGACGAGGCGGAACTCTATCCTCGTCGTGGTTGGGTCGAGGATGAACCTGTCGAGCTGGCCACATTCGGTGCAGCCGCAGCCTATCTTCCGAAGACCACCGTGAGGAAGGTGGCCCTTCTTCCCGAGCACGTCGCGCAGATATGTGCCGATGAGGATCTGGAACATGTCAACGAAAGGAGGGGTGCACAGGTCGATGTTCTTCGATAACAATAAGTTGCCCAGACGAGGCGCGAGAGGCGTGTAGATTTGCTTAAACTTGTCCACAGCCTTCCCAGGCGTCCCAAGGACGTCGACGAAGAGCCGTCTGCATACGTCGAGGTCGCCAATGATCAGAGCTTGTTCGAGAAGTTGTATTATCCGGTCAATCTTCGTTGTTTGAACGACGGGTTGTGTGTTTTGACCGGCACCACAATAGGATCGATACGGTGCTGTCGTCGTGACCTTGGTCCATTGTGGGAAGGCGGTTTCGAGGCAGGTTTTGATGAGGTCGTCTACAACCTTTTCAGAGGGATTCCGGGTAGGGTTTTGAGCTGGAGTATCGGGCGAAGGTTCAGTCGGGGTCGTGGATGGGTCTGTCGGTTCCTCGCTGGCGCTCTGAGTCTTCGCTAGGCGTTCGAGTATCCCTTTCTTGCCGTCGCGCAGGGCCTTGATCATGGCGATCCAGAATGGGAAAAGGTCCTGTTTGTGGATGAGGTTGGGCATGATTCTGACCATAAAAACATTTTCAAGATTAGCGCTGAGGGAGACGAAGGGGAAAATAAAACTTACACTTTGGTGAAGGCTTCGAGGCCAGCTACGCGGATAATGGACATAATAGTTGGAACGTCCTTCAGATCCGCTGTCGTGTACGACGCGAGGACCTTGTCCGACTCTTTCTTGCACCAAGCAGACACGACCCCCTTTTCCTCCTCAGACACTTGTGGTCGCAGGTTGAAGATGAAATTTATCCGGTCATGAAGCTGCATTGAACGAGCGATGATCTCTTCGAAGCTATGCAAGACAGTCAGGCAACAATTCAAACTAGCCCAGGAATCATACCTGACACGGACAGCCTCAAACGAGAACATCTTCCACGCCTTGACGAGCTTGTCCACGTCCATGATGGACAGCGTGCACGCATGGCCCTTCATGACAACCTTCCACATGTCCACGTCCTTCCACTTCAAGGCTAAATACAACATGGTGACGATCTGGTTCTGGTTCAAGGTGGAGGTCTTCTGGAGGATGCGATTTGCCCAAAGTCTATCCTCCTGAGTGGGTGGGACGGCGGTCGATTTCTTGAGCTTCTCGAAGGCATATGGGATTCCAGCGACGGAGAAACAGATGTTGTCCACTTCACTGGCGTGCATCAGGACAAGCACCGTTCGACGATACCCTACATACGAGAATTGGTCAACAGCTGAATGGTTGAGAGGCAGGATACCATACAGTAATCCAATTGCCCAGCTCCCTATGTGCATCCGAAAATATAGCACCATAAATCAAGAAAGAGATAGAGGCACGCACGTTACCCATGTATCCTTCATACTCAGTATCGTCAGGTTCCTCGTCCTTGAATGGGTCCTTAGGAATCAACGCGTCTTCCTTGAGGTCAATTTCTCCAACAGGCAGCAACGATGACCCATCCAGGTCAACCAGTCCTGAGATGCTGGTTTTCGTCTCGATGACCTCTAACATGCCCGGAGTCTCCTCTTCATCGCCCCCACCATAGTCCCACCGTCCGCGGTTGTGGTAACTCCCACCATCATCATCCCCGCACCCAGAAATATGGTGCTCAAGACTAGCTAGTCCGACCTTGAATCCCAACTGTTCGGCGACCCCGCGGAGGAACGTCACGCGGTGTGCGTCCACCCCTTTCAGGGCTTCGACCCCTTCGTGTAAGTTCGCGTTGCTGTACTCGTGGTTGAGGAGGTAGGCCACAAGCCGACGTGCTGACTTTTTCTTTTTGTACTTCGCTTCTTTCCACTTGCGGAGGACGCGTCGTAGGACACGTACAGAGTCGCCCATCTGCGGCAGACATGGTTTTGGGAGCCCAGGAGGGGCGGTGTGGATGAGGTTGTAAGAGAGAGCGAGGCGGTATCCGGACGTCACGGGCTTTACTTCGTGCTTGACGTCGGTGTACCAAGCGAGTAGGGCGGTTGAGAGGAATGAGTTCGGGGCAAAGTTGATGGTCCTGGTTGTCGAAGCGTGCGAGACAACAACCTGGCCGCCAGTGTAGGCAGATGGAAGAAGGATAATGACGGTGGCGAACATCCCATTCGCCTTCTGCGTGTCTTGATGAGGCAGAAAGCTTGAGGAATAGTAAGAGACGCGTAATAAGCGGATTAAAGGCGACTCGACTTACTGGGACCCAGTTTCGTACAGGAGAAGTTTGTACAATTCCATCCTCGGAGGAGAGTTCCCGACCGCCACACCGAGCTCCCTGCACACTTCAGCACATACAGGCCCACGAACGAACTTTTCCCATTCCTTGTTGGCAAACTCGATCCTCGAAGGTTCTATCTCCCAGGTATCTCTAACTTCTTTGTCGACCACCGTCCGTTCTCCGTGACCGAATGGTGCTAATGTCGCGCAAGATATTATTGACTTTGCGTCCCGTTTACTCAGAGGCATGCCGACGAGTCCTAGACCTGAGATAGTGACGCATGGATTGGGGGCCGTTGTAAGAAGGCTGGCATGATAAAAGTTGCCATCAAAGGAGAATTTATCGTCATGAAGTGCATTCAAAAGGTCGTCCTACCAGTGTCCAGAATGTGAAGTAAGAATACGAGGACAAAGATCAACAGCACAAGGACTTACTCGAAGGTCCTCCCCATCGGAAAGCTCGGACATCACTTCCTCGTCCCGTCCATCGTTATCCACATCCATTTCATCTGAAGGGTTGTCATCTTGCCTGGTTGCGACGTCTACCACTGGGCCATCCATTTGGTTCGAATTGGACGCTAATGGGTCGCCAGTAATCGCAGGCGAAGTGGAAGGTAGGGAGATGGGTTGGGCTGAGGAAGGCGGGGCGAGAACGGTGGAATAGGTGGTGTTTTCGAGCAGGGTGGTAGCAGGTATAGCAATTGGAGATACCTCAATGTCCGCTGCTGGCGTTGCGACTGTTTCGTTCGTGTCCTTGCTAGACTCTGCGCTAGCAGGGGCATCCTCATTGTGACCGGTTTTGATGTTTAAGTTATTTGAGAGCGAAAGTGGTCCGGCGACGGGGTTGTCATCCTGGTCTTCAAAATCCGTACTAGTGCTCTCTTCTGCGAACGTGGACAAATTCATCAGCAGAGGATGGCAAGACCCGGGAGAGGTAAGTACAGTGCATGATGCATGACGATTCGAATACACGAAACGTCACGGCACGTGTGCGAGTGACGCGCGGCGCGACACTGGTCGAGTCTGACTTCCATATATCTCGTTCACTAAGTACACTCCGTCACGAAAGTTGAGAAACCTCTATCGCGGATGGCACTGTCGACACGCATTCTGAGACTGAGTAGGAGTAATGTAATAGTGGTAAACACTGAATACCAACGGCACTGGGCATAAACAAGGGACCTTAATCAGTGGCCTCTTCTGTAAGATCAATGAAGGCTGGACCCAAGTTCACAGGACCACTCTTTTGTTTCTGACCAGCCAATTGACTAGGCACAGCACTACGGGCAGCACCGACTGTATGCTTGACAGCAGTTTGCTTAGTCCTGGCATACACGGGTCTTGACAGCCCAGGTTGCGGCAGCTCAGAGCCGGAGTCCATTTCCTCCTCCGTTGCCGACTCAGAAGCCTCCTCAGCATCCTGCCGGGGAATGAACGCTGCTGCTTGTGCTACAAGCGCTGCCCAAGCAGAGACAGCCGGCTTACTGAGGGTCGATTGTACCGAGTCGAATACCTTCGTTCCGTTAATGGCTCTGACGACATCAGGATAACGCGTGCCCTTGATCTTCTGGACCAACTGATCTGATCCAACAGTCGACAGAAAACGTCGCGCAGCTTGCTGACGTGCCAGCCACAGACCTGTCTCGACAACTGCAGGCCGCTTCGTCACTCGCATGTCTGGAAATTTACCCATCTGTATTCGAACGGCTGTAAACAGATCAGAGGCAGCAGCAATCTGGGACTCCAAGTGGTGCTGGCGGGTTTTCGTCATCTTGATATCCGTGACCCGCGAAGATGGGTTCAACAAAAATTGGTGAAGAGGGGTGCAAGTAGCACATCCGCACCGTAAATGCTGAATGTTGCCTCCCGCGAGAGGGGTCTTCGTTCCAAGAACGTCTCGTAGGTATCTGCCAACAAGGACCCGAAACACGTCCACGAACGGAGGAGTGCATACGTCGATATTTCTTGATTCGAGGAATGATTTGAGGCGAGGGATGAGATAGTTGTAGATCTGTCTGAAGTTGTCGACAGAACTCCCACGGTAACAGAAGACGTTGACAAAGAGCTGGGTGCAGGTGTCGAGGTCGCCATTAACCAAGGTCATTTCGAGGAGTTCGATGACTCTGTCGGTTTAGGTCAAACTACCAGTTGACCGTATGGGCAAAGCCCATAGCACGCGGCCCTGCACCACGCCGGACGCCCACTGGGGGAGGGCAGCTTGAAGGCTGCCTTTGATGGCTTCGTCGAGGGCAGTCCCTCCAGATGGTGTCTTGTATGGTTGCGCGTTTGCTTCAGCTGTATTCGATGAAGGACTGCTTGGCGCTGTGTTGGTTAGCGTCAGTGTAGCGTCAGTTGCAACAGGATATTTCTCCGAGATTTCCCTTTTCTCGGTACGCAATGCCTTAATCATTGCTAACCAGAAAGCATAGGAACTTTGTTTTGCGGTCAGGGTCGGCATTATACTGTGTAGCAGATTCCTGATGAATGTCGAAAGAGAATTGAGGGACGAATAATCACTCACATATTCACAAAGGTATCAAGACCGCTGGCATCAATAATATTCATGATGAGAGGAACATCCTTTGGGTCTGCTGTCGTGAAAGAACGAAGCACTTTGCCAATTCATTCTTACACCACTTAGATACCGCGGCAGCCTCCTTTTTTGACGCATGCGCCTCGAGGTTGTAGATAAAATTGACCCGTTCATGGAAACCCTTCGAGCGAGCTAGGAACTCTTCGAAGCTACATGCCATCATAAGTACTAGCCCCATGAAACGGTGGAAGGAACATACCCGAGGGAAACCACTTTGAACGAAAACACCTTCCATGCCTGCTTCAGCCTGCTTTCATCCAATGCTTCCAGTGTACAGACAGGGCACTTCATGACCGTCCTCCACATTTCCGCATCTTTCCACTTCAATGCGTAGTCGAACATGGCAATGGCTTGTTCTTTATTCAGAGACGAGCCCTTTTCGAGAATCCGGCTTGCCCAAAGCTTGTCTTCTTGAGTAGGCTTGGCCGTCGAGTTTCCAAGCTTGCCGAAGGCATAAGAAAGGCCGGCTATGGAGAAGTACATATTGTCGACCTCACTGGCGGACATTAGAACTAATGCGGTCCTATGATACCCTGAGAAAGAGTTTAAGAAAGCAAGATTCGAAGATGTTGCAGGGAACTCACAATAATCCAACTGTCCAGCCCCCTAGACAAGGCAACACGGGTTCAGCACATCTACCTTAGAGAGGAAAGAAATACACACATTACCCATATACCCCTCATACTCAGTTTTATCAGGTTTCACATCCTCGAACGCATCCCTCGGTATTAACGCATCATCCGAGAGTGTGATTTTGACCTGGCTACCAGGAAGCAGCAAAGACCCATTCAAGTCCACCAGTCCCGAGACGCTGGATCTCGCATACCCCTCTTCCTCCATGCTTGGAAATTTTCTTCCTCCTCTTCCGAAGCCCTCCTCCTCGCTGTCAGAGTAGCATCGTGCACGACGACGGTAGTAGTCTGCGCCGTCATCATCTGCAGCACCGGTGACGTTGTACGTCAGACTAGCAAGGCCGACTATGAACCCCAGGTCTTTAGCAATATCGCGCAGGAATGACACACGGTGCGCGTCTGCACCTTTCAGGGCTTTGTGGCCGTGTTGGAGATTTGCGGTGCTGTACTGATGGTCGAGTAGGTACGCGACGAGGGGAGGTTCGGGCATATTCTGGTATCTTCCATCCTTCCATTTTCGCAGAACACGTCGAAGGGCATAGACAGAGTCGCTCATGTCAGGTAGGCATGGTTGTGGAACCTCAGGCGGTGCGGTGTGAATGAGGTTGTACGAGAGCGCGAGTCGGTAGCCAGATTTAACAGGCTTGACTTCGTGCTTGACATCAGTATACCAGGCGAGCAGTGCAGACGAATATAAAGAATCTGGAGCGAAGTCTATAGTCTTAGTCTTCGACGCGTGTGAAACCACAACCTGGCCGCCGGTGTATTTGGATGGCAAAAGGATGATGATGGTGGCGAACATCCCATTTGCTTTTTGTGTATCTTGATGAGGCAAGAAACTAAAAGTGAATCCTCAGCGTGAGATGTGTCAAACTGGAGAGAAAACTGGACGCACTGGGAACCTTTTTCGTACAAAAGTAGTTTATAGAACTCCATCCGCGGAGGAGAGTCTCCGACAGCAACCCACAACTGCTTGCACACTTGCGGGCACAGAGTGCCAGTAATGTACTTCTCCCAGTCTCTATGCGTAAATGCGACCTTGACAGGTTCAATCTCCCAAGTGTCTCTGACCACCTTATCGATCACAGTTCGTTCGCCATGTCCAAAGGGAGCCAAGTTTGCGCACGATATAACTCCGGACGTAGAGGGTGCCGCTTTTGATCTCGTTGTCACCATGTAAATGGTCGGTTTCACTTCTGAATCGTCCTGGGCACCCAGACCCTGGTCTCGCTGGTGATGCTGGTGACTGGTGACATTTTCTGCTCAATGTCCATTGCCAATCCCAAGCAACGTGAACTGTACGTAACGCCACGTGATGGGAGCTTTTCGTGTTCCCTGACAGTGACCCTCTCGCCGGCCAACGTGCTGAGCGTCACCACGTCATCACTAGTACTTAGTTAATGGGAGACTTTCAAAATCTGAAGACAATCGTGGTCGAAGGAAGCTGCTATATGAAGGAATCCTGCTCGCACTGTGGATACAAGACATGTCTATGAGATGGCGCCGGCAAGTTTGCTCCTTTCGAATTTGGCCTATCTGGCATTCTACTGACAGGTTCTCGTGATCACGAAGGCCTTCCCCACTGCCTCCGCATAGCATTACTATTAGCACTGGTACTGAGCACTGAGCAGCTATCAACTATGGCTATGTAAAGAACACGTGTTATATTCAAATACAGCTCACCTTGGAAGAGACACTTGGTGAAGTTGTTCTCTCTTCCTTTGCATTTTCGACACCCTTCTATCTCCTTCTTCGTGTTATGGACCTCAGCAATAGTCCAGACAAAGGATCCGATGCAAACACTATAGGCAGTCAGCTTCAGTCACCGCCGTCTAGTCCCAATGCCGAGTAGGTTGTCATCTCCCCGGGCCCTCTCGCTATCGATTTTGTTATTCGTCTATGCAGACAGACGTCAAGCACGATGTTTCCCTCCGCGAGCGATATCGGTATTCGTGGGGGACAGTTCAACGCAGCGCAGACGATAATCAACACGACCAACAACTATCACTGTAAGATATCTGACTTTCCTGCAGTGAGCCAAACCCAAGTGAAACCTCTAGACGCAGACTCGGATCCGTCGCTAACCAGTTCTGGAGCGGTGCCTGTGGGAGCAGTAAGTAGACCATACGAAGATCTACTCGTTTATAATTCTTCTGGTCTCGTGCCATACAAGCAGGCAACCTCTCTTCCAGCGCCCGGAGGGAATAAACTACAGCGCCAGGAACACAGAACGACTATGGAAGACATTGTGAGTGCCCCTTTGAGGTTCCTCTGTCCTTTTGTTATCATTCGGCTTGTAGCAAAGTCGGCCGAGGCTTAATCCTTTGCCCGTTCAGAGAAGTTGCGAAATTTACTACAGAAATCTTGCAACCCAAGGGCGGGGCTCTCCCTTATGGATACCAGAATCTAACAATCGACTGCCAATTGATTATCAACGAAAAGGCATTGCCATAGGCGACGTAGGAATCTTGACCCCGTCTGGTGCATTTGACTTTCTGTTCAACATCTGTCTACCACCCGATCATATCTTCAACGAGGACAGAACCCCCCCAGGATTTTCACCCCTTGACCCTCCTTTGAAGGACATTGACGTCCATGGATATACTGAGTTCAAGGCCGACAGCTATTTGACAAGCTCGTCAATTGAGAAATCGTACCGAGATGATAACCGTCCGTGAGTCGTTGGGCGAATTCTACCAGCTCCTCAGTTTCTAACTCAGCATCCAGTGGTTTAACATTCGAATCCTCAGCTTCAGAGGGTGCCATTTTGACTATGCCTCACGGAGCGCAATCAGAGAATCTCGGCAACGTCTCAAGATTTAGGAAATATATGGCCGACAACCAAGAGTCCTGGTACGAACATGTAAATGGAGAGCTAGGACGGGAGGCGCAGAATGGTGACATCCGTCTCGTCATTGGGTGCGATAAGTCTGTGTCTTGGGGTATGGCGATCTTTGCAAATGTGCGACAACAGAATGGTTTTCGCCTCAATTTCAGACCTGTCGGGGAAACCATAGTAGGACGCACTTACGGGTGGGAGTACACTGGGATGGCGCAAGTGAAAGCAGGGCCTGACCTGCAAGACATTCGGGAACTGAATGATGACGAATCAGGAGAGATCACCATTTATAGGAACCAATGTCTCTTCGTCCGCACCTTGAATGCTACGCTTCATGAAGAAGCATGGGAACGACTAGACTCTGCTTCTACTGTTCCAGAGTCAGTCAAGCTCGGTAGGCCCGCGCGACCGCCTTTTGGTCCCGCACAGTTTCCTGTGGCAACTATGAACAATTCCTCCAAGACGCCAACGGGCAGCCAGGTTGCTACAGGTAGCCAAATGGGAATAGAAACCTCCGAGACTTCCAGGATACTCCCCTTGCCCATCACCTCCCATCCCTCAAGCCTCCTCAACTCGGTCTTATTGCAACAGGTGCGTTCGACTCTGGGTGTCTCTTACGCACATTCAGAATGACCTGCATCAATCTTCATTGACAGAGACCTAATGCCAAAATTGCCATCACAGAAGACAAGGACTGGATTTCCATCCTTCGCAAGGTAAAACGAGTCTCTCTTTAAAGTTCCCCGCTTAAATTCCCCGCATTCAGGGTGAGACAGCTCTACCTGATTCTCAGGAATTCATCCGCCGAGTTCTCGAAATGAACGAGGTTCAGGAGACAGATGGTTTGCGCTTCCATCTTCGTGCCAGTACTTGGAGCTAATCCACGATTAATAATAGGAGTAGTCTTTCTTGAGCCCAAAGTGCCGAAGACCACAGAACCAGTTACTCAAGAACAGAAGGTCCGGCCAATTGGTTTTCATCTTCCAGTCCTTTATTCTGACTCCTCCATGACAGAAGCCCGTCGCCTCGTCTCTCCCATCATCTCCACCTACCAGAATGTCAACTGTGGCAGAAAACCCGACGAAAGTCCAAGTGAGTTGTATTGTCTCTATCAGAAAGCATTTTTACCTCGAGAAGATTGCAGCGAAGTCCAACCCTGGAGCCACGCTTCCACCTTCCATTGCGTCAGAGGTCACGGTAAGTAGTTTTGATTTCCTTAGCATGTTTCCTGACTTTCCACGCTCAGAAAAATGCATCCATTTCGTTGTCCTCACATTCAGCTGTAAGACCGAATCCGACCTCACCGGCCTCACTCCATCAGGTTCATTCGCCACAAGGCGGAATCTTCAACACGACCGTATCACCGACCTGGGCACCAACAACATCCAAGGTTCGTGAGCCTCATACCTCTCCAATCACATGGTTTAGAAAGCTTCTAGTCGCTGTCCGCGGAACAGCCTGCTCCTCTTCCATCATCGCAGACCGCTTCCTCCTTGAATACAGCAGTTATTAATTGGTCATCGCCGACCGTTAGTGGTCCCACCGCCACTTCCTCCAGAATACCCGCAGAAGCACTCGCGCTGAGTCCGAGTTCGACGCAGGTAGCGTATTGCAATTGTATTCTATCGTCTTGGGAAGTTTATAATATCGATTTAGACCGCGAGCAGTCCGGTTCTTGTTCCACTACCGAGGATCGCGCCCCAGTCCGACAACATTCTTTTGTGGACAAATCAAGACTCACGCGAGAGTATTCTTTTCAATTTTTATGGAATAGCCTATCGCTTCCAGGTCCCGTTTTCTGTTCAGCAATTACTCGTGAGTCGCTGATTCTTATTCGACGGCAGACATCGGTGTTGCAGGGTCATCCGGCTATAACGACAATGTGGCGCACTATCCGATTAAATAAGGAAGATCGTATCGCCAGACTAGAATGGGCGCCAAATGGCGGACTTGGCCGTGTTGTGGTTGGCAAGGTATGACGTCCAAAAGAAATTAGTGTAGCGAACGCCACTGAAACACAAACCAGAATACGCTAGGGATGGCTGATCTTTTGAAAGCAGATCTCGGAAACCCCGTACGCCATGCATCGTTCTCAAGTAATCGCGACAACACTCATATATTGTGAAGGGCATGAGGTACTTTAGTGGCCCTGATGGATGTCGTTACTATTGGCGCCATCCGCAGAGCTCAATGCCCAACCTTTCGGTACGTACTCCGACCGCGAAGTGCAACGTCTTCTGATCTTTCCTTCTACTAAGATGTATGACACGATGGGCAACGTTGTCGCTTTTTTCAGGCAAACCCGTCAAGTACGCTACCAGATGGGTGATGTTTACGGAGAGCTCCACCTAATACCGGTCTCCTCTGGATCTACGGTGAGTAACTGTGATTCAATCGGCAGGCAGACTTCTCTTAATTCTTGTTTACAGGTGCCAATGATGGACATGATCGTACTCACGGCCATGTTGAATCGAGTTTGCGCGGCGTTCAACCTCTGAGTTTCAACGATTCAGAAGTCTCAACCCACAGTATTCAGTAGGCAAACCTTGACCCTGTCAACAAGTTTTGCAGTGTGCACTGCCAAATTATATCGCAAAAGCTCGTTGAAGACGGATCCGGAGATGCGGCGAACAATTGAGAGAGAGTACAATTACAACGAAATACACTGCAAAAAAAAAACTGCTAAGGACTTCACTACTTCAGACACTGCCTACCAGAATGTAATTATCGACCATACTCATCGTCGAGGAAAACCCTCGCCCTTGTCTCCCCCGCCTCGAGCCTGATCCATGTCTCCACGCTCGCTTTGGGGTCGGGTGCATGGAACAAGATATTCCGCACACCGTAGCCCCAGCCCGCTTGACCGTAGCCGCCGTACCTATTCAAGAAATGAATTCGCAACATCGAGGCTTAGAAAAAGTACGGAAGTGGTCCACTTACCCGGAATGTTTGTCGAAGCAGAATATCACATCCTTGGTAGGCTCGCGTGCACACCATTCGTTGCCGTGATCTACAGGAGGAATTCGAACCTCATGTGATGAGACGAACGTAAAGACCTACCATGCCCAGAAACTATAGCGTGCAAGTTTTTGATATGGGTGTTGAGCGCATCCCAGAATGGCTTGTCGTTTCCGGCACTTGCTGAGTCCTGGACGGAGCCGCTGCCAAGGAAATCCGCTGTTGGGTTTAAGATGAATAAAAATTCTAATCAACGATGAGAAAGGTTCACACCATTCAGTCCAGGATTCTTTTGTGCATTAATTGTCGGTTGGACGGCCTGAATAGCGTGTCTGCATACCAGCCAGATTAGACGTCTGCAAGGAGAACACCACAAAAAGGTTACCGTACGGAGGGATATGCATGAATGCCAATGCAGCTCGGGATGACTCTGCAGGGCCCCAAACAGTTTCCATCGCCTCGGACTCAGACTTAATCCAGTCAGACACGGAGGCATCGACCCAGTCGGGTACAGGGATTGAGTTGGGGTTCGGAGAGAACCCACCTGGAATTGAAATTTGGTCAGTGTTAGGCTGGTTCCGAAGAACTACAATTGACAAACCGCGGGAGTCGAAGAACCAGAGTATCAGGATAGGCGCAAGGTCTAAGACGTCGATATATATATTAGCAGAGAAAAGGGTGATTCGACATGAGAGATCCCACCTGACTCCTTCGCGTATATCTGGAGACTAGTAGTGAATCAACCGTGGAATACTCGAAGAGGGGAAAACGCACAGGAACCCAATAATTTCCTGGGCCTTGAGTGCCCCCAACGCCGTCTGGTCCCACGCGAGTGTAACTCATTGGTGCAACCTTGAGTTCACGCTCGATCTCCTCGATGTGTGTGATATTCGCTTGGTTGTCGTGATTCTATGTGACATTGTTAGAATCTGAGCAAAAATAACGAAGACTAATTTTACCCCGTGAGTGGATGAAAATGGGACCTTGGCCTCGTTGATCGGTTCCATGATCTCGTCGATGAGCAAGGTAGAATTCTCGCGAAAAGTATCTTCAGGAAACAGGTCATCTCTTGGGTTGATAAGGCCTTGTGATTTAACTTACTTTCTCCAGTAATCAAATCACCATTTATGACGCTGAAGACCGGTGCTGGGTCAATAATCGATGCTCTCTCGTACGATATCAATTCGACTCACACATAATCTGGGTTCTCAGACCCCAGCACTGTCCTCATCAATTTGAGGCTATTTACGTCCTGTTGCGGGCCCCAATCGTCCCAAGGATTCTCTCCAAAATGAAGATCCGAGAACACAGTGAGTTTGAAGGTCCCATCGGATTTGAATGTCAGACGCGGTTTGCCAGGATACGGGTTTAAGTTGTTGTCGATTGATCCTAGGACTGGGGTCTCGGAGAGAATCGTAAGACAGAAAGCACGTCTGCAGAGTCTAGAAAGGTTGCTTACGGAGACATGGCGCGGCAGAGACTGAAGCAGTATACAATGCGGAAACGAGCAAGGCAGCGTTGTCCAGTCTCAGTCTCATGAAGCGTGTGTTGAAGATCCTCATCACTGGCGAAGGGACTTTCGGGAGTCTTCAGAGAACCACGACGTGTAGTTATGCTCGCTGGAGAGCATGTGTGCTCCTACCACATCGGCATTGTCTTGTTCGTTACAGCTGCAGGTGGACCAGGACCGTGCGTGGCGGTTTGCCTCATTTAGTCCACGCACGTGCTATTTCGGAGTTCTTCCGGCCCGCTACTTAATTCCCTTCAGCCGAAATTTACCGGAGGCAGTTCGAACTTCAAGCTCTTCAGCTGAGTCAACTTTTCCGACTTCAACTTCAAGCAGGCAACGAGTGTATCGATATGGTGAATTTCGTGCCACTCTTTGCCCACTTTTGTTGGCTGAAACACAGTGTCGACTTTCTCAGATGCGAAATCCCCAAGATGTTGCTGGAGCAATGGCAACACTGATGAGATCTCACAACCACAACTGGTTAGAAACCCCAGTCGTTATCTTTTCTTATCCAAATATGCCCCGCCCAGCCATCTTTTCGAGCTTTCGCCAATTCACACTTTCCTCTCAAGAGCTCATCGAAATGGCTTCTGTTTCATTCAACACTAGACAGAGACGCCCAATTAACTCAAGACCTGTGGGCCCATCTTTTACCAAGTCCCCAAAGACAGTTTCCAGATGTGGTTAGCGCACGTCGTGATAAGCGACGACGAGTCTCGAGCGCTAGCGTCAGTGACAGCGTGTCAGAAAAACAGAGGGCATGCCGGGGATAGCCTGATAAGCACTCACCAAGAGCGGCCACATTATTTCGACCTGACAACTCGCCCGTCCATGTCTACTGTACGGGCACCGTTCGCGAAGGCAATATATTCAGGAGGCAGGGTCCTGTTTACCCAAGTCCTTGATGAACAAACTCTTCCTCGAGGCACATCCTTGACACGCCCCACGGATAAAAGGAAGTCCCTTCAGTTCGCCCACTATCCCCGACCGGCTCGCAAGATAGCCTCGAAGTTATAAATACTCCAGGGCTTCCCCTGTGACGCAAGTCTGGCTTCCTTCTGACCTTCATTCAGAGAGTTCCCATGGCCGACGATGTACAACTGACACCAGAGTTGATTACCCTTGGCCATGATCTGTACGTTCTTCAGTCTTTCCTGGCACGCGGTCTCGATAGTGACATATCATGTTCAAATCCTAGCCTCGCTTTCAAGGCGAGCTTGCTTCAGAAACCCGAGTTTGATCAAAAGCTTACTCGCGTGCACGTAGCGGTACTACGTAGGGATGGCCGCGTTGCTGGCCTACGACTACTGCCTCACCATCGGCCAGGAGCTGGAGGATATTTGGAAAGGGAAAAGGTCTCCGAGTGAGTCGCAAGCGATGCCGTCCCTTCTTGCCCACTCACAACACGCCACAGTATTCTATCTTTATGTCATGGTTCGTGGCCTCCATCCGTGATCTCTGGGACGCCCTTTTCAACGCAACAATCAAACCAGAACCGTTATTGTCCGATGGCCTTCTGCATTATAACATTGTCAGGTAAACCGATGAACTCTACATGGAGAGAATCGTCACTCAGTGGAGTCTCGCAGCATACTTCTCTCCTTTGTGGACATCTGAGGTGAGCACAAAACGCGACTCAGCGCCTCCCATGTCTGACGCTTGGCCCCCCAGGTGTGAGTATCGTCCGTCGCTCTGTGCCAGAAGTATTCAATATCCTGCTAGCTGCGACCGTTTTGCAATCGTCAAATGGTTTCAAACGCTCCTTATCGTCATCCCTGCCGAGACTGTGCTCGTCTTTCGGTATGCCCTCGAATTCGCCCGATGATGCTCCTTCTGACCTGACTGTCCGCCCTCAGGATGCACGCTCTGACTGGACGGAATATATTCATCATGGCGTTCCTGGTTAGCACGATGATAGTCCAGTGCTGTGTGGTGTTCTATGCCATGTCGCGGCCGGGAAAAAATCGCGGTGTGTCCGACAGCTCGTTTCCGTCTTTTAGCCCTTGTCATTAACCCGCCATGTAGCCCTTGAAACACCAGACCATCTCGCGGACGCATACCATAGTAAGTACAATTTACAAATCTGTGGCAATGACTGACCGGTGCAGTATGTATTCTTTTCTCCGAACCCAAGATGGACACGGCCTACCTTGGAGTCTCCATCCTCTTCGACTTTACGGTCTTCTTCTTGACCATCCTTCGTACCATTAATTTTCGGACGAAGAAGTTACCCAAGACCACCTTGCTCCAGACGATACTTCGCGATGGGGCATTTTATTTTGCCGTCATCCTTTCTGGGAACATCGTCTGGATGGTCTGCGCTCTTGCGGGTCGGGTAAGTTTTCTTGTAGCCATGATCCAGGACTCTGAATTGACAATCGCGATCTCTCTTCAGCGCGGGATAAAACTGATAAACGCGCAGTAAGTGCGCTTGACAATTGTGTCTTTCTTTTGACTGAAACCACCCTTCTGTGTTACTAGGCCTAGCATGATGTACGTACCAACTCCGAGACCGCATCACACGCATTAATCTCAACGCTCCTCGTTCGAATTTAACTGATAGTCTCACATCCATCATGATAACGCGTCTCACCCTCTCCCTGCGGAGTGCCGGTCATTTCAGTGGAACTGCCCTCCAATACGAGTGGCCGAAGGAGCTGGTGACTACTGCCACTACCGAAGAGGTGGAACTTGGTGAACGACAGGTCGGGAATATGCGCGGCTCAAACGAGCTGGGGATGAGTGTCGTGCGACCGTTCAGCATGCAGGCGAATACATATCGAATACAGTGAGTGCCTGTCTTCTTGTCGCGAAAGTGGGTGAGTAGTGGTGGCTCTGGCAGATGCCAGGGCGGGCCTATCGCGGTCCCCAACAACCTGTGCGACAGGACGGGTTACGCGAAAATCTTCTCTGACAGAACTTTGCTGACCGAAGTACTTTCAAATTCCAGGAAATCCGATGAGCCACGGTCAACCCCCATGACATGACATGACTTCTACTGGTTAAAGTGCCCCAACGGGCCCAGACCAGGCAAGGGCAGCGGAATCCCCCACTCTTCCTTTGCTCTAATCCTCGCCCCATCCCCTACTAAGCTAGGTCGAGAGGCAGGAGTTGTGAACTCAGCTGCTTATTCTGAATTCCTATGTTTACGGATCCGGAGAAGCTAGTGATTCTCCTGTTGTTTGTGTACTATCAGTGGTCTTCCAGCTCCAATTCCCCGTCTGGCAACCTGTTAATATACCCAAAGTAATAGTTCGTTACCCATCTGTATGTACACGACTTAGATATAAGATAGACCCAGCTAGTGTGCGACTTGCATCCAAGTTGACAGATGTTCATTAGACAGTAGTATCTACCGTAGTACAATTTGTTGAATTCAACCCTGTTACAATTCCACCCTCCAGTCCCGCGATTTCTACGCATCAAGTAAGTCGAGCCTCCGTACAACACTTCCTATATGGATCCACAAGAGTCCGGAAATAAACAGGCTATGTACTTATCAGCCATGACCCATCAACCATCTGCGTTCTCCTACAACATGATCACGATCACAATTATTGCGCGATGCTCATCAAACTCCCAACGAAGGTCAAAATCTAGGGGCGAGACAAAACGACAGTGATTAGATCAAATTGAAAGGAAGCACAACGCTGCACTCACGAGACGGGGCCGAACGTCAACAATATCTTCAGGGACCAAGAAGATGAGAGCGTTCATTTTACGTGCGATCGAGATCGCGAGTTTGGCTGAAAGGAAAGGAAAGTCAGAGTTGATCCCTCATTAACGCTGGACATTTGGACAGACCATTCTGCCTACGATCTTCGTAGTCTCCATTCTCAGTAACTGGGATGACGAGATTGGGGTCAACGATGCCTGGGCGAATAGCGTCGAGGAGGTCGAGGAAGAACAGGCCGGTGGTAATGGATGGATCCTTGAAGGATCGGATGGGACGCACGCTCGGTTTCGCCTTCTGAGCGGTGGTGTTGGCCCAACGGAGCATGTCTTGATCGGTCAGAGGTCGTCCGGAGGATTTGGAAAGCTGAGAGAGAGTCTTCGTAATGCTTATTCTAGACCAAATAATCTCAGTTGGAATGAAGGAAGGACAACGAAAGACACAACGAACCTCATCAGCTGCCAGACGAGTCCTAGAACAAGGGTCTTCTTCGCGTCGACGATATCCGCACCCTGGATGCCGACCATGTGAAGGCCATTCTGCTTCGCAAGTTCAACAGAGTAGTTGGTATTCTCGAGCATCTTAAATCTTGTCAGTGTGCTCTGATTGGGCGTAACACCAATGTCCGCGCCCTCGTCTTCGTCTCCACCACTGAAGTAGGTCGCTGGGCCAGCACCCTCCTTCGGCTTTGAGACACGTCGCCAGATGACGCTTCCGGGCGAGATCTTGTCGAACGCTTGGAGAATGACCAGCCCATCACGGAGGTTCTCGAATAGATTGAACACAGCTGGCTCGACGCCGAGAGAGTTGAGCCATAGGGTGAAAACCCGCGCCTCACGCTCGCCTTCGGCATCGAAGTCTTCGACCTGGCCGTACTCCTTTGCCTCCTCCTCGTCGAGTGGTTCGAGACCAGGGTGCGTATTAAACAGGTTCGCGACGAAGGCAAGGTTTAGACGTGGATTTCCGGAGACCAGGGAGGATGGCGTGAGGTACTTCCGGCATCCGATCTTGTCTGCGTTCTGGAGCACCTGCTCAGCACGTTGTCGAACATCGCGCGTCTGCAGCGGTGCGCGAGAGCACTGATCCGGCTTCAGCTGGTTGAGAAGCACAGTGTAGTTCTCGCCGTCTGAGACATCGCGGCTGAAGTTGTTCACTCTAGAGAAATGACGTCACATGACAATCCACAGACAAGAGCAGAGTCAGCGTACCTACGGTTCCATCCAGCAGCCTTGAGATGGTAATTGAACCAGCGGAGCAGGATCTGATCTGGCGTCAGTCGCAGCAGATCCTCGATGGTCTCACCCTCCTCGCACAGCCGGTACAGCTCGGGGTGCAGCTTGATGTCGACCTGGGCAAGCAGACCGCGTCGGATGACCTGCCAAATGAGACCGAGGATGAGATGCTCGCGACCCTCTGAAATGTCTGAGGCGCCGATGTTGACCACAGAGCACCCGATGCCCTTCGCCGACGTGATGACGATGTTGTTGTTCTCCGTAATCTGGAAGGCGTTGAGTGGTTTGCGTGTTTGGGGCTTGTTGAGGACCCGCGTGTCGATTGTATCCGGAACGGAATCGTTGATGAGTTTACAGAGGATCAGACCGTCCTTGACCTCGTCGAAGAGCTGCATCGTATCTGTGGGGATGGGATATCGGTTCCCGATGTCTGGATCGTTTTCGATTACCTCCGCAGAGCGTCAATCCACGGGTATACCTTGAAAGGAGGAACATACCAGGTTGATGTGGTTCGTGAATTCCGCCCGCTCATCTTCGTTGATGGTATGACTGACGTTGGCATTAGAGCCTTGTACCGTCACCTTCCCCGCCTTCGTGGTGATAGAGCCTTTCGTTTGCGAGCGCAGCTTTGCGTTGAGCTGCGCAGCTACTCAGCCATCGTCCTCTACGTTGGCGGCAACACATACCTCCACCCAGTCGTCGAGCTCAACCTTTCCGCTCGCATCGACACTGACGTGCTTCAACGTCTCCCTCGCGACATCGTACGACTGCCCACTCGATTGTAGAGCATGGAGCACTGCAGATTTGTCCACTCGTCCCGGGGTGTCGGTATTTAATCCACTGCAATTGATGAGTAAAGGAAGCTTCCCGAGCCGTAATGACGCACTTGAATCGATTAATGAGATCGAACATCTCATCTCGTGTGAATTCTGGATATTTCTTCTGTAGTTTTAAGGCTTCCATGGCGGCGAGGGATGGATATGGGAATGTCTAGGTGGAGGTTTGAGTTCAAGGTCGGCGTATTATCAGTCGAGGTGTGGCTGTGCATGTTTGCGCCGCAGGCGCGGCGTAAAACATGCGTAAAACAGATGAGAAATCGAAGAACTCATCGCCTTCCGCAGTATGAGTGGAAGAGGTCGCTTTATTCCGCAACAGACGGCGGCGGTCGAGGTATCCTCACGGCTGAATTTAGTGTCGTCATCCATCTGGGACAGTACTATTTTATTGTGCCAATCGCGTTTGAAAAAGGTGTTTCTCCTTTTTCATCGATTCTTATCTAAGGAATTTGTAGCCAGAGGGGTGGCTAAAGTAGATCGACAAGAAATATCTTGTTAGCGCTCACAGCGCGATATCAATAAATGCGAATCAGTAGTAAAGTCAGCTCGAAACGTAACGCCAGGTTTTCCCAAAATAATCAGATATTTGTGGCCAACATAGAGAATGTGTTGTACAAATCTACAGCAGTTGGTGGGTGGTGAGATGAAAGGGATCAAGGAGGCATTTTATAATGATTCAGATCTTCAGACCCTAACGAGTCGTTTTAGGGTCGGTATTCTTGCGGGCGCTAGAGCGTGTTTTCTCGTGTGCGTCTTCTACATATATGTATTCCCCGCCCGAATACTTCTATCCAGAGTGGAAGGGCATCATCGTAGATAAATGGCTTGCATGTGTTCCGAATTCATGAAGATGATGGCGTAAGGCCAGGGTGGTGAAATCCATAGAATCATCTGCGCGAGTGTATCATAGAGCATACGCTCTTTTTTTTTTTAAAGAAAAATAGAAAATACCGGGCATCTGAGTAACTAAAAACGATTTTTTCTTGTCAGTCCTGTCGATGAACTCCTGAAAATCAAGGTAGGAAGCTTCTTTCAAAAGGCGTGAACCAGGAGGCAATGTGAAGGCGCTGTATGATACTTCGAAACACCCGGGTCGAAGCTTCCAGGTTTTCCGCGGGTTTGGGCGAAACAAATGGAAAGTGATCGAATCTGCCAATCTTCGACTCAGACCGTCACAGCGAGTCGCAGCATTCAACCTGGTAGGATTTCGAAGCTCGCCGGAGTCGGATGCTAGAATCGACAAGGCTACAAGGGCTTTTAGAATACGCCAAAATTGCTTACATCAAACACAGGGAGATTTTCGGGTCATAATGTCAATGGCAGGAAGTGGGATGGCGGTGAGAGCAGTGTGGCGGTTGATACAGCGAAATGACGTAGTTTCCGAAGGTGTCTGCAGGAGGAAGCTCTTGGTATTTGGTGCGCCATTCTCGAATCAGGATTTGAGGGTAAGATTTGGGCAAAAATTTACCAATAAATCATCATGGATTCGAGGCAGAAATTTGAGATTTTCGTGGACGACAAAGATTGGGAATCTCCCGGATGTGACTGCAGCGTCCTCATAATTTTGCTTCGTAGACACAGCGATGCCCTTACCTGCAGGCGGTCATTTGAAATCTAGGTACGAAACTTTCGTTAC